GCCTAGGTAATTAATAAAGATTATTACTATATTATACTTATTTTTACTCTCTAGATACTTTTTAAAATCTACTAATATATATTACTAGGGGCAGTTAGAAACTAGTAATAAATATAAGAGTTCTGGCTTCTTATTTCTAGGAATATGGGATTATTAGTAGGTATAAAAGTTATTCCTATACTAATTAATATCTATACCTTGGCCTGGCTAGTAATAGCAGGCCTAAAGAAGCTATTAAAGCTTGGCTTATCCTGGGTATTTTATTAGAGGCTATATATATGCCTTCTAAATAAGGGCAGTCTATAAGGATATTTCGGGTATTATTATACTATTAGATATAAATAGTTTACTATATTATAAGAAGAGGCCGTCTTATAGTATTCAGGTACTTTCCTTCTCGTTTCTTGCCTTATTCTATAGTTCTTCTAGCTCTAGTAATTCTCGGTTCTTACTTAATAGCTTATTTACTAGCTAGATATTATTATACTAGGTTTCTTCCTGAGCCGGGCTTACTAAGGTCTTAATTAGGGCTAACTAGAGATCCTATATAATATTATTATTAATCTTTTATTATAGGAAGAGAATTTAGATTTAGTAAACTATTATTACCTTATTCTAGATAGTTATATTCTTATACTTCTTATTTAAAATATCTATTTATTTATTTAATTTACTTGCCTAATATATAAGCTTAAAATAGTAATAGGAAAGATATTCTACCTAGTAAACTTATCTTATTAAAAGCTTCTTTATAATTATAAAGTACTCGAGAGTTTAGTAATCTAAATAAATTATAAAAAGTGCCTTTTATAGGCCTTCTAGCTCTATTTACTATTCAGTTAAAAAAATAATAATAATAAGTATTTCTTTATTATAAATATTATAGTTTAGCTTTACTAACTATATAGTCTTAGAGAAGAATATTACCGGATATTAGAGTTCTATCTAGAAGTCTTATTATAAGAGAATACCGGCTATAATTCTATTTAATATATTTGTCTTAACTATAATAAAGAGATTTGGATTATAGTAATATAGAATTAATACCGAGAGTATAGCTTGCTTTAGTTTAGTAAAACCTTCTTAATACTAATCTATCTACTTAAATAGAACTCCTTTATATATTAGGGCTATTAGGGGCTTTATTATATAGCTATATTCCGTAATAAAATACTAATAAAAGTTATAAAAACCCAGAAAGCCTTATATTTCTTTAACTATTTTTAGTAATTACTAGTTCTTAATAACTACTATCTTATCTGGATCTATTTTAATACCTCTAATAGAAATAATAAAGCCTAGGTATTTTATATAAGTAACCTTAAATTCTGATTTTTTTAATATTTACTTAGAGGCTAATATCCTATAACTACTAAAGAATCTTTTATATATAATCTTTATATTTTAGGGAATTATCCAAATAAATTAGGATATTATCCAAATAAGCTATATAGAAGATATTAAGGTAATTAAAGAAGATATTATTTATATATCTCTAATATATAATAGGGCTATTAGTTAGGCCTTTCTAAAAGACTTTATATTTATAGGCCCTATATCTTATATGAAATATAATAAGTTCTTCTAATTCTGGATCTATTTGGATTCAATAAAATACTTATTAAATATCTAGCTTTATATAGACCTTGGCTTGAGCTAGCTATTATAGTTCTGTCTCTCCTAGCTATTACTTACCCGGAATGAACTCGTTCTCTTATTATAATTCTAGTTCTTTATTAATCTCAAAAAATATTATTATAAAGAAAAAGTTCTTCTTTTTCTATAGGTTTATTTAGAAAGCAGCCGGCAAGATACCTATAATATTAACTATAGGCCTTAACTAGCTCTTATGGCTTTTCTTTAGATAATATGGTTTTAATATCCCTATTTCTGGCTTAAGAGAAACTTTTATATTTCTCAAGGCTATTTATATTTCTTTATAATATTAAGCTTAATTCTTTTACTATATATGGCTTTCTGAGTCCGGCTCGGAAAGAAACTAAGGGAGTTTTCTCTTTATAAGCTAAGGTTTCTAGGACTTATTTATAGTTATAGCTTTATTTCTTCTATTTATATTTTCTTAGTACTAGTTACTTTTCCTAGGTTTCAAGTTCTTATATATAGTAATTAGGACCTTATTCTAATCCTTTTTTCTAGACTAATTATCTGGCTAGATTAATCTTCTATTCTTATAATTAATTAGGATACTAGTATTTATAAACTATTATTATCTCAAAATTATATTATACTTATCTAGTTCTATAACTAGTATAGGTACTAGAACCTTCTATTTATTAATTAATAATATAAGCTTAATATAGTAAGTAATAGATATGGCCTACTTACTATTAAACCCTCTTATATTATAGGGTAATACTAATTAAATAGGCTTAATATCTAGAAATCGTTTAATTATTCTTATAAACTTAGAATTAATAAAAGTATATCTATTTACTCTAGTATTAATAAGAGAAGAAGTCTTAATACCTAATTTATTATTACTAACTATATAAGGAAATATAAATACTTTATCTCCTAGTAACTAGCTTAAATTAACTTCTGCTATATTTATATAATATGGCCCTAAAAAGAAAACTTTCTTTAGAAGTTCTTATTTCCCTATTTTATATCTTTAGATAGCTTACTTATAATAAGTACTACTAGCTTGGCTACTAAGACTTGCTTTATATATCCTATTTTGGGCTCTGAATAATTCCTAGATATATAATTAAATCTATTATAATTATAGTATTTGAGATCTAAGGATCCGGGCTTTAGGGTAATAGACTTATTTATTACTAGGGTTTTAAGGGCAGGCTTTATATAGGAGGCGCCTCCTAAGCTTAGCTTATTTATATCTTTATTAGCTTTTTTAAATATCTAGTCTTTCTTTTTATAATAAGCTCGGATCTGCTAATTATTTATAATATAGTATTATATAAACTCTATAATACAAATAGCCGGGTTATTATAGTATATAACTATAGTCTTTTAGAGCTTTCAGGTAAGCTTATTATTTAGGTTATTTTTAAGGTCCTATAAATTAATATTTCTGTTTATTATATGCCTTAGAAACAGGATATAGAACTCCTGAAAAGTCTAGCTCTTCTTTATAAATAGCTTCTTAAAGGCTTATCGAGTATTATATTCTTTATTCAGGTTACTATATAGCTTTTTTAGATAGATATATAATTCTCTAATAGTCTCGTATATATATTAATTATCCTGGTTTAGGTAAGAGAAGATTAGTATAAGGATATAACTATTTATATAGCCGGAAATATAAATAATCTTAAGGTCTTTTATCTAGTAAATATTAGAATTACTATAGAGCTTGTTCTTAATCTAAACTAACTAATTATTAAAGATAATATTATTCTTAGTTATATTTTTAAAGATAGGAGAATTAGAAAGTTTAATTAAATATCTATTTTCTAAAATAGGGAAACCGGTTATTTCTATAGGCTATATAATAAGCTTCTTAATAATAGCTTTATTCTTTTATAAGGCTTGCTTAGTTTCTCTTAACTAATTATAATAATTCTTACTATAGGCAAGAATATTATATATTTTCAGAATTAGCTTAATAATTTCCTTATATAGAGCCTCTGGGCTTCGGAATAACTTTTAGAAGTCTGCCTTTAATAGGACAGGTCCCTCTTCTTCCTTGGCTCTCTAAAAAAGAATATCTTTTCTACTATAAATATTAATAGGATATTCGGATTCTTTAGGAGATTTAATAAAAGGCTCTGATTTACCTTCTAGTAATATACTAATAGTATCTCGTACTATAGCTCTTTCTGACTTGCCTAGTTATTCTGGGACTTACTTTCTTATAAGTCTTTATTTAGTAATAAGATTACTGGCCTATTTACTTATCTGGCCGGTTCAGGGCTTTCTTGCCTAGTTATTCTAGGGCTTTCTTTCATTCTAATATTAGTTAACCGGTATAGGAGTAGCTATAGTATATTATATCTATACTTATTAAAAACCAATTAGATAGGTATTATTTAAATCCTTTATAGGATTGAGAAGTAGGTAAGCTTTGAATTATATTACGAGTATAAGATCTAGGGCCTGGAAGATATAGTTAGACTATCTCTATTTTAATAATTCAAAGCTAAAGAAAGAAGAGGATATTAAAGAAGCCTCGGATCTAAATAATCGCGAGCTATATACGGGCCTATATACTAGCTTAAGTACGGAGTTATATATAACTATTAGGTAATTACAAATACTATACTTAGATACTAGATACCTTACTCAGATACCAGATACCTAGCTAGCTCTAGTCTAATCCCTACTAGTACCGTATTATAATAACTATAATACGGGCCTCTATATAATAATATAGGAATCTATAAATTATAATCTAATATTATATAGATTTAAAGATTAAAAAGCAAAATTAAAAAAATTACTTATAAATATATATTATAATATATTAATTTATTTAAAACTTAATATTTTAATATTTTTTATATATATTTTATAAATATTTCTTTTACTATATAGCTATATTATATATTTTTATTAAATAACTAGAAGTAATAAAAATAATAAAAATAATATATAAAAGTAATATATATATATTAGGTAATTAAAATTATAATAGTATTTTTTATTATAAAATAATTTCGTTTTTAAGCTTTTAAAAACTCTTATTTTATTTTTAAATATTATATATATTATATAATTTAATTAATATTATAAGTTTTATAAAAGTTTTAATAATTTAATATTATTTTGGGTTTTTATTTTATTTAAATATAATAGCTATTTAAAATAGAAGTTATATAAGGATAGTATACCTATATAAATAATAATAGCAAGATATAATAATAAAGATCTTTATTCTCTATAAGTTGCCTATTATATATTTTTACTATAAAGATTTCTTACTACTCGATATTCTAGTTTATTAATGCAATTAGTAGAAAGGGGTATTTACAAATAATTAAGCATGAGATAAGAGATTGGAAATGGTTGTTCTAGAACCTGCAATGAACCCGAAAAGGGTAAATCTCAACACGCGCCTTACCCGAAATGGCAAATCTCGAATTATGAAGACCTAATGATTAGAGATAAGCCATGATGCATTGTTTCACAATTGCCCAAACAAGATAAACTGGGCATCACGCTACGAACCGTTGATCAAGTTCCTTAACGTCAACCAACCTTCTTCCCAGCTTCCATAACCGCCCGTGCAACAGCAACATCATCCCAGAACTCGTCAAAGATAGGCCCCAGATAAAACCCACTCCACAGAAACTCCGTCAATGAAAGAGCAAGCTCAGCCGTCCCGTCTATTCCAGCTCCGTGACATGACTGTGCAAGAAGCTGAATAAACCACTCTTGATCTTCCGTGCCAAGACTCCCCAACCCACCGATCATAATTATCCAAAGCATCATCTCGGGATATGCTAGCTGAAATTCTCGTACATCAATGAACTCCAAACTTGCTCTTATTTGCGTCGACATTAATACGTGTGTGCCTGACCGCGGAGGTAAGTTATACGTGAACATCAAAATGTGTGCCACCGCCGCGTTCCCAAACAATCTGAACACCACAGCGTTCCGGTTCAGTGGATGGGGAATCTCGTATTGGATGAGGGCAATGAGACGGTACATGAGTTGAGTACAGTACGATTGTAATGATTGAAACTCCATTTCTGAAATCTCCATTTTCTGCGAGCCTGCAAATCTTTCTCTCTTTGATATAAGGTGTTGCAGGATACGGTAGACTTCTATCATCTCATGGCTGAGATCTGGCAAGCCCGTGAGGTTCGATAACCTCGCTTTATAGCGTGCGCCTAAGAGGCTGCAGGGTTCTAGAAATTCAAGTCCGGGATGAAGTGGCAGACGTCCTGGGTTTAGGAGTTCGAAGCGTGGTTTCGAGCCCAAGGCGATGGCGCCAACGATGTCAACCCTGTCCATTCACAGGAACATGAGAGAAGTCCCCGAATATACTTCTAGGGTTGGCTTACCAGGTAGTGTACTTCAAAATAAAAGGAACGCCAACTAGGGCTTGCAGACCACCTACACTCTTGACCAAAGCCTCTACGCCATCGAGGTGAATTTTAAAACTCTCGAGGGCACCAGCTCTCAGCTAACAATATCGTTGAAGATTTAGCCTGGATAACAAAGAGTGGAGAGGCAGAAGGAGTGCGCACCTCAAAAGCCGTTATAGTAGTAACCGCACCTATCGTGTCGATTGACACGGGATTTTCATGAGAATTTGCGATTCTTTTGTTCACAATCGCAATTGCTTTGCCGATGTGGTAGATTATATTGGGATTCATCTCGACGCGTACTACCGAACTCAGCGTTTTAGCTACATGTGCTAGAGACGCATGTAAGAGAGCTGGGTTGGATAGTGAGGTTTGGAGAGCCTCCTCCTTTCCCATAAAGGGTCTGATAGGTGAGTAAGCACATTCGGTAGGGTAGAAAAGACTGTAATCTACCAGTTATTAGTAAGGGAGAGCGAGCGGCTTAAAGCGTTCTCAAGATCATTCATAGCCGAAGTCGAGAAGGGAAATACCACCGATAGCTTACATTGACTGATTAAGTACTGTGATTTCCCATCTTCACCTATCCGTAAAGTATTAAACGGGTCGATCCCAGTGTTTCCCGGGCCGGAGTTTAGGCGGGGGCTTCCATATCGTGACACAAGAACCCCCGATTGTCCCGGGACTTCCGATTTCGTGGCCACTTTGCTTTTATCTGTTTTTGTGCGGGGACGTAGAGGAGGAGGCCCTTCTTTTGATTGCGCGTGTTGCTTTCTGCTGGGCACTCTCCTCCGTGCTTTAGAGCGGACGAGTCTGAGAGCTGCACCTTTCGGTCGAGACAAGCCAGTCTCGCCGATGAATTGAAACGGCTTAGGGATCCCAGAGTGTTAGCAGACTAGCAATGGACCTCAAACAAATTACGTGACTCGGTTGATAAAGGGTACTACTGAGTACTGACCGAAGCCGACGATTCGGAGCCTGCACCAACCAAGCTGTCAGTTGCTTATCCCATCGAATGTTCTACTAATCTGCTACGTACTAATGTGGTCTGGTTCGTCACCTATACCCACGTCAAATGTCTGCGGCGCCCCGGAGTTCCCTGCTCGCGGCCGGCCTGGCCGTCTCGGAATTGAAGATCTCATTCTCTGGCTCAAGTTTGGTCTTACAGCAAAAAAGGGCGAGGCTCCCACGAGGCTCTAATGGCCATACAATGTCTTGCGGCTGTCCGGTGTGAAAATTGAGTACAAAATGGTGAGCCAGTGAGGCTGGTAGTTTGGCCCCACTTAAACATCTGCGGCCAAGTCTGATGTCTCTTAGTAATCCTCGTGCAGCACTCGGCCCAATAAAAATATTTTAAAGAATTATGGATATCGGGAAATCGCATGCCTATAGGTGAGGTGTGATCCATGTTCACCTTTCTTTCTCAAAGTGTGCCTCTTCCTCTCCCTGGTCCCGATAGTTGACAGCCAGCACTTTGCATCCTAACCGAAAGTTGAATCACGTGATAGTCTCTTACTGGATTCCACTTCTTGCTATAAATACCACATTCGAAGTTTGCTCTTAAGTTCAACGCTTTTCTTCCAATATCATAAGTGCTTCAATTATAATGTACATACTCAATCACGGGATATCCAGATTGAGGGGTTTCAACAGCCGAATACACTACAGGGGTTGTTATTGGACAGCTGTACGGAGGTGAGTTCCAAGGATAAAAATTATCATCCGGAAGACGTTCCCTTCCCTCATAGCGCATTTGATTATTTTAATGTCTCCCGGTTCACTCAACAAATTGCTCTGCGAGGTATTTTTTCGCGCAGCATTGGGCTGCGCACGATCATTCGATTTCCCTCTCCTCCTGGCCTCGGCCTGGTGCTCTCATATTCGATCCTCCTAGTCTCCGCCCAAATTGAAGCATAAAGTCCACTCTCCACACAAGATAAGGACTCTGACTGCCATAATTCAGTATGTTTGCCTGATCTCTCGAAGTCCTCTTCCTCACGGCACAGCGTACTTCTCTCACAGCATCTCTCGGAAGCATCGTCTACCACGACCCCTCTAGACCCCTCTCCAGCTTACAGGACTCCTACTACTCCCAACAACAACAAGAAGTAATTCCTGCCTGTGTCGTTCAGCTTAGTCATGCTTTTCAATCTGTAGAAGCAATCCGCATCATCAGACAACATAACTGCATCTTTGCCGTCAAGTCAGGGGCCACTCCATGTTTGCAGGTGCCTCCAATGCTCCTGCAGGCATCGCCTTTGATATGAAGTATCTCAACGATGTATTTATCTCAGAGGATATGTAGACGACAATTGTGGGAATTACCAATTCCTGGGGTGATGTGTATAAATTGTTAGATCAAATTAATCGAACTGTTGTTGGGAGAAGAGATACTGTTGCTGGCGTTGGAGGTTACCTTGGGTGGTAAGCCAGACCTCCTTCGCCTTTGAGAAGGCCGGATCTAATCCAAGAGAGGTGGGATATTCCTCCTCTCACGTAATTAAGGCTGGGCAGTAGACAATATTCGGAACTACGAAGTAAGGCCCGCCCCCAATCCAAATTCCGACCACAAAAATTCAAAGTTCTTTTCAGGTTGTACTCGCAAACGGCACCGCAGAAGCATCAACCAAGCCTCAGCACCCGATCTCTACCAGCTATCTCGTCTCCCTCAAAGGCAACTTCCACTCTTCCTCACCCCTTTCCACTTCTAATCAAAAACCTCTCTCCCCATCAAAAGCCTAATTCACACCTTCTCCCGCATCCTCCTCTCCCCAACCTGCAGCACACTCAGCTACTGCTCCTCACCTCATCCCGTTCTCCACGCTTTCTCCAACCACGCCCTATCATCCGCCCCAGGAGCTGAAAACTCCCAACTCCTCTCCTCTTTCTTCAAGAATCCTCATACCGGAGCCTATTTCTTCAACTACGGCATGATTTACTCAAAACCAGAACCGTATCAGGAGGTGTTTGAGGAATTCAGCAAGTTGCCGGCGATTTACTATTTCATGACGATCAGGAGTTCGAGTAGTATTGCGGCGGAGATTGATGGATAGTTTGTTTCCGGTTGGGTTGCGGTGCGTTATTTCTCTTCTCCTCTTCCTCCCCACAGTTAGCCTACCTCTTCCTTTAGGTACTGACAGAAACGGAAACTCCTGGCCAACCGTAACATTCAAGTTAGACGAGCAACTACTGATGAAGCTCTGGGAAATCTTCATCCCCGAGGCTGAAATCATCAGCCACGTTTACAACGTCATCACAGGCATGACGCTCTCAACCGCGAGAAATGTCTTTCTTCCAAAAGAACGGTGGGAACTGTCTTAGAATCGCGGAGGCTGATTAGCCTTTAGTTGGTAAGTTTTCTTTCATTCCATGCACAGCACCCATGTTTCAAGAAGTTAGGCTGATGAAGGAGAATAGTTTTGACGGTTAACTTTCAATGGAATAACCGCGAAGATGACCCTACGTGCGAGACGGCAAAGAGGAATATTATTGATCACATCACGGCGGCTTCAAAAGAGATGGGCCTGCACCATCAGTATATATACCGGAATTATGCGAATATCAGTCAGGACGTGTTTGCTGGGTATGGAGAGTAGAACCCGGAGAGACTGAAAGGGGTTCAGAGAAAGTATGATCCCGAAGGCGTGTTCAGTCGCTTGAAACCTGGTTATTTCATGGTATGACCTGTCAATACGTGAAAATCGTATGTTGTTCTCAGTAATCCTGACCACTGAGACCGTTATTCTCACAGTCCAAGGGAAATTGAAAGATCGCACTGCTGCTTAACCCACTGCACGCCATAGAAATAGCAAACTAACAAGCTTCTTCAAGATCAAAGACTTCCGGTTCAGTGTCATCCTAACGTGCCGCGCATCGTTTCCCCCTAGACCGAACCCTATCGGGGAGGGCGGGCACTCCCACTTTTCCAGCTAGCCGGCAGTCTCGTAATCCCAGCGTCCTCCAAAGATGTATGACCACCTCGCGACTGCAGCGTGGCATCTCTGGTACGCCGTACATAGCCACGGCCTGATCTTCAATCCTATTACCAAATACTTTAAGTTCCCCATTTTCAAACTCGACTGGACAGACCCTCCATACGAACATCTAGCCGCTTCTGAGATATGCTTGATTAAGGAAACGAGTCTCTTTGATGCATCCTAGTTATAAGACCCCCGCTTGCTCATGCTACTAGCAACGTTAATCAATTTGAAATCCGAAATTGTCGTGAAGCTTGCCCCTATATGAACACTTCACTTACTCGTTAGCGAGCTGGATTCCAGGGGCTGCAGGGTCGCCGGCGGCCACTGCCGACAACCTCACAAGCGAAGTGAAGTTGCGCATGAGGTTTCTCGACCAAGAGACCTCAATTTGCAAACTTATGCATAAGCCGACCGTTCTGCAATTCTCTCTTAAAACTGCCGACGCCTTTCTTTGTCTTTGCTCCGCTTCCACTCTCACGTGATGCTTTCCCGCTTCCACTTGCTTACCAACCGGTACTCTCGCTTGATCTTTATGGTTTCTTCACCGCGACACGCCCTTCCCTCTTCCAACCTCATCACAATCTTCGTGGTCCTTCAAGCCACCGCATCCCTGGCCGACTCGGCATCCCACGCCGAGCACCCAACACTGCCGAGCCTGCATCTTCGCAATCCTGTGCTGTGGCTGTGCAGCACCTGTCCTGGCCTTTCGAGATGGCGATGGCCGTCTTCATTTACCGCCATTTATCGCGATTTAGCCAGCCTGTCGATCCGCCAGGCACGGGGCGGTTAAGGTTCCCCAATTAGCTTGGAAGTGGAAGGTGTGCAACTTGTCCCTGGCTAAGTGCTCCGCATCATCTGCCACGCCAGGCAAGATCCAGGTAAGATCACAGATTGCTCTGCCTATCAACTTTTCTGGAGTACGGCATCTGGCCATCTCCCGCCGTATAGGTACGGATACGGAGGATACAGATGCTTTGCGAAAGTTCGCACTCTATAAAACGTGCCCCATTTCCCACCTCCTATGTCTTGTTGAAAAATCCCACGAGTCACTGCTGTCACTGCTGTCACTGCTGTCACACGGGACACTCGGTCCCATTCCCACTCGTTCATCATGAAGCTTTCTTTCCTCTCGTTGCTGGTTGGGACGGCAGTGGCTGGACCTCTCGGCAGCTACCGAGTGTTCGAACGACTGTCCGGAGCACCTGAACCATGGGCCCTCAAGGCTGGTGGCCAAGTTGATGGCGACCAGAGCTTTAAGCTTCGGATCCACCTCAAGAATCGAAACCTGGGGTCCTTCCATCAGAAGCTTTCGATGTCAGTACCCCCGATCATCCAGATTATGGTCGGCATCTTAGCCGCGTGGAACTCGGAGACATGCTTGCGCCTTCACCGCAGTCTTATGACATGGTTGCGGAATGGCTGGAGGAAAAGGGTGTGTCTGAGAAGGCGACAATCGAGGATGATTGGGTCATCATCGATGGAACCATTGGAGATGCTGCAGAGCTTCTCCAGGCCGAATACCAATTGTTTGAGAACAAAGCAACTGGAAAGCTCACTGCTCGCACCTTGGCCTACAGTCTTCCCAATGCTCTGCACGCTCACATCGACATAGCTGCTCCCACCATCAAATTCTCCACGCCTTCTGCAATGAGATCGACAATCGTTCAGAATTACCCGGTTCCAGCTGCAGTCAAATCTTCGTCCGGTGACGTTCACGACGGACTCGACGTTGTCGCCTGCAATAGCAGCATCACCCCCGATTGCCTCAAAGCCCTGTACAAGTTCAAGCACTTCAGGGCATCAGCCCGAAATGGGAACCAGCTCGCTCTGGCCGGGTTTATTGAACAATATGCCCAACACGATGATCTGGCCCAATTTCTGGGGGTCTACTCACCAAACGCCAACGGCTCTGACTTCTCAACAATGCTGATCAACAACGGCACCAATCTGCAAGTCAAAGACCGACGAAGCATCGACGAAGCAAACCTCGATATTCAATACGGTTTCTCGTTAGCCTATCCTACGCCAACCGTCTACATCTCAACAGGCGGACGACCCCCGGAGAATATAAAAAATGAAGTCGACAACGAGCCGTGCCTTGAGTTCCTCACCTACCTCCTCAAACTCGACAATATCCCTCAAACAATTTCTATCTCCTACGGCGATGCGGAGTGGACCGTTCCCAAGAACTACGCCAACACAGTCTGCGACCTCTTTGCGCAAATCGCAGCCCGTGGGACCACAGTCCTCGCTGCCTCCGGCGACGACGGCATCGAAAGCAAATGCAACATAGTCGACCCCAACAAACTCCTCTACAACCCTATGTTCCCAGGAGGCTGCCCCTTCGTTACAGCCGTCGGAGCAACATACCAAGTCGCCCCCGAGGTAGCAGTCAATTTCTCCGGCGGCGGCTTCTCAAATTACTTCGCGAGACCAGCGTACCAGGACGCAGCAGTCAATACCTACCTGACCAAACACGCAGACCCCGCCTATACCAAGTACTTCAATGCATCTGGCCGAGCGTACCCTGATGTTTCTGCCCAGGGGGTGGCATTCCACACCATCCAGACTGGCAATGACGTCCCCGTGTCCGGAACCAGCGCTTCATGCCCAGTATTCGCGGCTGTCGTTGCGTTATTGAACAGTGATCGGATTTCGAATGGCCTTCTGCCGTTTGGCCTCTTGAACCCGTGGTTGTATAGCAAAGCAGCGGATGCGCAGGCATTCAACGATATTGTGAACGGGAAGGGACTGGGCTGTGAGGGTCAAATTCCGGGTTCAGGGTTCGCTGCTACAGTTGGATGGGATCCAGTGACTGGCTTAGGAACTCCAGACTTCAAGAAATTGCGGAAAATGAGCACTGGGATTGATAGTTAGATGAGAAAATATGCGAGGACAGAGAGGAACGTGTTTCAAGGCCATTATGATCGGGACTTTTGATACATATCAAAATTGCGCCAAGTAAATAAGAAGCCGAATTCTCTAGTCAGAGCTGCTCCTCATGATATTGCAGAACTGTATTCCTTGTCAGCTTGCCAGAGCCGGATTCAAACCCAACTCATACTGATACATCAGACTAAAAACATCCCTTCAGGCCGAGGTTTTCACCTTCTTAGGGACGATGATAAAGGAAAATAATGTGAATAGTCTAATATAACTTTGGGATTCTCGATGAATGTGGCAGTGGACAATTGCCAGTACGCTGCTGTTCACTGATTCTGATTTACTCCCTAAATTTTGGTGAATTACAGGCGAGCATGTAATGGATGGGCCCTAGAAATCAAAGCCTGAGCGCTGGCTAGGCTGGTGTTCAGGGCCTTCCCACCAAAAATCCTGCACTAGCCAAGGTTCTTTCTGCCACTTCACACCGCCCGGCCTGAACCCAAGATGGAATCGCGTCCTCAAGCCAGCGGGCCAATTGACATCCCAGGACGAAAGCCGTCTGAAAAAGACATCACCACCGAATTTCCTCCCATCTCCCCAGGCAGTCCCCCCTCCGACCGTCTCATCCTCGGACGATTCCTAGAGCGTGATCTAGATCTCGTCCCAGCTTCCCTCCCAACCTCCAGGCCCCGTCACGTTTCCGTCTCAATCGCAGAGCTTGCAGCCTCGGACAAGAAGGAGAAGCAATGGACGAATTTGCACAGTCAAGAGAGGACGATGACCTCTTTGCCGATGAGTTCGAGCCAGTATCTGTCCCAACCTTCACAGTTGACGAGACACCAGCCGCTCCTGTCATTGAGGAAAAGCCAGCAAACGTCCCAAGCAACGGCACAAACCCCGTGCACAGGAACGGACGCAAAGAAGGACAAGAGCGGCGACAAAGAGGAGGGCGTGGAGGAGGAGGAGCAGCAAACAACGGCTTGAATGCCTCGAGATACGCGCCCAAGGCCGAGCCGACTACTTCTGAAGCCCCGGCTCCAGAATCCACACAGCCTACATCGGCTTCTACCTCTGACCCCGCTATCCAACCTACCGCAAACGCCGCCCCCGCGCCGCAAAATGCCACTCCCAATACCACCGAACCTCCATCTCTACCTCAACCTACAAACACACGAACCCCAGCCGTGAGAGGCGACCGCTCAGCAACAGGCGGCCCAGCACACAAGAAACTAACCGAAGAAGAACTCACCCTCAAGCTCGAGAAGATGGCCGTCCTCAACGCGCAAAAAGCCGAGCGACATCGTCTCTCCGAAGCAGACCAAGCAGCCTTCCAACACCGAGAAAAGGAGTTGGCGAAGGAGAGAAGAGAGAGAGCTGTTGTAGAGAAGAGAAACGAACGAGTTATGGAGATGGAGAGGGCGAAGAATCGCGAGCGGAAGATGAAGGCTCAGGGAGGACGGGAATGGGACAGTGAGAAAGTGGAGAGCGATATTGTGGATAGGAAGGGGCGGAGTTCCGAGTATGTACGAGGTGGCCACGGAGGCGTTGTTCGAGGCAGAGGTGGTGGATTGGCTGGCAGTCGATATGCTACAGACGGCGATGAAGAGGCACCAGCTACGGAGACACAATCTAGCAGAGGCAGAGGCACATTCGAGATTCGAGGCCGTGGACGAGGCGGCAGAGGTGGGCGTGGTGGCAAGACACCGAATACTGTCCCGACCACAGAGGACTTCCCTTCACTCCCGACTCCTGCGAAGCCTCCTACACTTGTCAAGGCAAGCGACACTTATACCGAGACTCCTGCTAAAGTTTTTACATCTGCCAAGGCAACGGAATCTTCTACTGAGGCTGCGACTACCGCAGCGGAGCAGGAGCAAGTGAAGCCGCCGGATAAACCTGCAGGTGATTGGGCGGAGGAAATGGCTACACCAATCGAGGAGAAGAAAATGGAAAGTTGAACGCATGCATTGGGGGTACAGGCAAGGAATGGCGTTGGGTTGGGATGATAGACTCGTCTACGGACTTGAGTAAATGCATTGGCTGCGTTGTTTTGTCTTCAAAAAAGCTCAATAATAATTTCGAGTTGGGTTTCTGAATAAATACTGATCTTGAGATTTCCCACCCTGTCGACATTGACATCACAATTTCTTGCTTGGCCTCGTGAAAAGCCTTGAATTCGTTTCATTTTGATGGCATTTATAATACAAGTATTCCATGATCCCGCCCTGAACGCCAGAAGGTATGCAAGGTTGTCATAGAATCCATTACCATCGTCCCCTGAATCCTCCTCCACGACCACCTCTAAATCCGCCACCTCTGCCTCCCCCTCTACCTCCGTATCCTCTCCCACCATATCCTCCATCCCCATACCCGCCATCGAAGCCACCTCTCGCCTCTCCACTCTCTTCGCTCGGCATGGGTCCTCTTCTATTTCTCAACTCCTTCGGGAACGCCTCAAATGTCTTCCGCATCTGAGCATACCCCAAATGCATCTTCCCATAAAAGTGATCCGCCAGCCGTCGATCGTTATCCAGGCGACTCAAATAAGCACCACAAACATCGCAAACCTGCAACTTCTGATGACCAGACGGACCAGACGTATCACTCAGCGCCTTCAACTCCCTCTCCTTATCCCCCTTCGTCTGCATCGCCTGCCGAATCCGAAAGAACTCCTCGTACGCCCGCGAAACCTGGCTCTCCTCCCCTAAAACCTGGATCTCCATCAGTCCCGTCTCGATACTCTTACCCAAATCCCCAATTTGCTTGAGCAGCGCATTCGTCTGCCGAATTTCATCTGGCGTCTTCTCTAATCTCCTCTGGGCAACATCAATGCGGCGATTGCATTCGTCGATGTACTTTTGCAGGTCGCGCATGTAGTCGTATTCGAATCCCCATTTCTGTTTCTGTGCTGCATCTGCGGCCTCGTACTCGGTTTTCAGGGGTTCACTGTGGACTTTTGGGCAGGGACCGAGATCTTGCTTGGTGTTTGTAAAGAGGTCATGTGGGCAGGTGCCGGCGAGGAATGAACGGCAGACTTTGGGGTCGGTAATGGAGAGTTGGGCGGCGCGGGAGGAGGCACCGGCGCCCATGAGCTGTTCTGGGGGATGTTAGCTTGCACAGGGCATATACAAAGATGTATTCCTACCTAGAAGCTTCCTCTGTTCCGCCGCCATCTTGGGTGCAGCTTCTTGCGATGTTGCGATGAGGTTGTTGATGCGAGGTTGAAGACCAGACGCGGCTGAGAAGTTTGTTCGCAGCCGCGCCTTTCAAAGCCGCGCTAAAATTCGAGCTTCAAGCTTCAACCTGTCCCCTTTTGAACACCACAACAAACACATTTCAAATGAGCTGCTTATAACACCCCTCGGCGCTGGCAGCCATGCGTCAATTCCACTCCTTACTGCTGTGCCTCAGCTGCCTCTCCTTTACCCTCGCTTCCTCCGATTACCACGAGCAGCTCCTCCTCAAACCTCTCCATCCATCACTTCTTCTTGCTTCCTTTAACTTCCAGTCTAATACAACGCTGGCGTCTTTTGAGCAGCAAAACTTTAGATATTTTCCGAGGTCATTGGGGCAGATTCTGCAGCATGCAAATACGAGGGAATTGCATCTGAGGTTTAGTCTAGGGAGGTGGGATGCTGAGAGCTGGGGCGCGAGACCTTGGGGAGGTGCTCGGGAGGGAGGAACGGGCGTGGAATTATGGGCTTGGGTCGAAGCTGAGACTGACGAGGTGTACGTTCTCCAATTACTTTTGCTGGTGATTAGCTAACTATTGTAGGGCTGATGGAAGATGGCTTACCTTGACGAATGCACTCTCTGGCCTCTTTTGCGCCTCTCTGAATTTCATCGATTCGACACGAACTACAAGGCCTATTATGTCATTCCAGCCCTCGGGTGACCACAAGAACTCCACCTTCGAGAGCCTACATCTTCTTCATGGGACGTTGCCGAGAGAAGTGGTGTGTACAGAGAACTTGACCCCTTTCCTGAAGCTGTTGCCTTGTAAGGGGAAAGCCGGGATATCGAGCTTGTTGGATGGACACAAGCTATTTGATGCAAGTTGGCAGAGCATGTCAATTGATGTCAGACCAATCTGTCCTCTTGCATCGAACGATTGCCAGCTGCAGATCACGCAGACAATCGATATGGTTCTGGATATTCAGAGGTCGAAGCGACCCAGAGACAATCCCATCCCTCGGCCTGTGCCGAACGAGGAGCTTAAATGCGATACATCAAAGCCATATCACACTGAAGATACTTGCTACCCTTTGGACACGGCGGCTCGGGAAGAAGAATGGACTCTTTCACAGATATTTGGGCATCCATTGAAGGGAGCTTGCCCCTTGGCAACTGATGGAATCGATCCAGTGTGCATCAGTGTCCCACATGCACGCCAAGTGTTTTCCTCGGAAGGATCACACGAGCACAAGGATTCGAGTGGGTTTATGAGGTGCTACCATCTGGATTCCGAGAAGGACTTTGAGTTGGTTCTTCCACAGCAAGAGATCTCAGAAAAAGCACCTCTCGAGCAACCTTTGTTGTACGCCGAGCGATCATTCATTGGCTACGGTCAAGAACGAGGCGGTGTCCAGGCCATACTTACCAACCCCTCTCTTACCGAAGCAGTCGACTTCATCTACATGGAATCCTTACCCTGGTTCATGAAGCTCTACCTCCACACCCTAAATGCCAAGATCAACGGGCTAGACACCCACCAAGATGTCATTCAAGAAATGTACTACCGTCCCGCGCTCGACCGTAAACGCGGAACCCAACTTGAAATCCGGATTCTCATCCCGGCGAACTCAACTGTCGTCCTCACCTACGACTTCGAGAAAGCAATCCTACGCTACACCGAATACCCACCAGATGCCAACCGCGGCTTTGACGTCGCGCCAGCAGTCATCACAATCGGCAATGTCTCGATACGCACCACTTCCCTTCTACTTCCTCTCCCTACCCCGGATTTCAGCATGCCGTATAATGTTATCATCCTCACGAGTACGGTGATGGCTCTCAGCTTTGGCTTCATCTTCAATTTGTTGGTGAGGAGGTTCGTGGCTGTTGATGAGGCGGATCAGTGGGATGTCAGGTCTGTGAGGTTAAAAGTCGCGGCGCTGATTAAGGGGAAGTTGAAGAGGTTTAGGAAAAGGGTGAAGATGGAGAAAAAAGAGTGATGTGGGTATATGTTTAAAATATGAAGACATTGAACTCTCTTGCTGAGCTCGGTGGGCACCGAGAATGGCTACGCACAGAAGTGAGATTCCACATCTATACGGCCGCAGTTACAGAGGGGTCTGGACCCGACTTTCTAACCTTTAACGAGGCCCTAGGTGTTCTTCCAAGCGGACCAGTTCCCTAGAGCACGTGACACCATTGAGGTTCATTTTACGGCCGTACAAGTATGGACTTTCTGCGATCCGTATTACTATCCCACCTTTGCTGTCTCGAGTTGTTCCAGACTCCGACTATTATACACGCCGGTTCACAATTTTATGACGTTGCGTGCAGATAACGGGGGCGTGTTCCTTCCTGGCCACAGGCAATTCCCGAGCTTCTGCGGTAGACAAACCTTACGGCCGTATATTTCACTAGTTGGTACGAAATCCAGCCCTTGAAGTTGTTTCTTGTCCCTTCTTTGGAATGGTCTTCGAAGGTCGGAGGAACTGGGGCCGGAGTGGACTGTCAGACTCGCACTCGCTTCTCACCTCCAAAACTTCACCAGCGTCTTCATTCCAAGTGAGATGCACGTAGCCATCAACATGAGAACCGAAATATAAAGTTCAATTCACATCTCTAACCCACAGAGTATTATCAGCCATCGGTTGAAGGTGTTTGCTGCATGATACTCATTTGGTTCTGAGCTGACATTGAAATCTAACTCCCGGTGCCAACTCTTCCAGCTCTCAAAAATCAACACACCTTCAAACTCATAGAGAAAGGGGACCTTATGGCTTCCCAAGCAGAATCCAGACCACCAATCCTTGACTGGCCCAACGAGGCCGGAGTAAACCTCCCTTCTCCCAACCGTCACCTCTCAACTAATTTTGACAGTTCCAAACCCTTCACGAACAACATGACCCCACCTCCCTCCCAATCACTGGCTCCATCCCCGCTTACGCGGCAGGAGTCCTGTACCGCACAGGGCCCTCAAGCTACAAAGTTGGCAAGTTCTCGTGTTCCCACTGGTTCGATGGCTTCGGTCAGACGTATCGATTCGAGATAATCGCGGAGGAAGATGGAACTACGAGAGTGGTTTATAATTCTAGGAAAGCGAACGACGCTTTGATTGACAGGGCGAGGAAGGCGGGGAGCGTTGGTGGGATTACCTTTGGGCAAAGACGGGATCCTTGTGTTGGTATTTTTGGGAAGGTAAGAGCTGCGTTCATCTGCTCGCACACTCAGGGTGAAACGTTAACCAGGCAATAGGTGTTGAGTATCTTCCGCCCAGCACCAAGTAAAGAGAGTAATGATCCGAGCTTGGTCAACGTGGCCGTGACACTCAGACCAGACATGCCCGGCCTCCCTTCTCTTCCACCTTCAAAAAGAGAAATCGGCCATTCGCCAAATATAGGCATCAAAAATCTCTGGACAGGCACCGACAGCGCCCGTTTCAAACAACTCGATCCCCAAACCCTCGAACCCCTTGCCACCTCCTCCCAAAAATCACTGCATTCCCGTCTCAAAGGTCCCCTTTCAGGCGCTCATTCACAAACCGACCCCTTGACGGGAGACGTCTTCAACTACAACCTCGAGCTCGGTCTCCATGCAACATACCGAATTTTTCGCACCTCGGCTTCCACTGGCGAAACTGAGATCCTTGCCACCTTCCCGTCCAAGGCAGCATACATTCATTCCTTTTTCTTAAGTGAGGATTATGTCACTTTGGCAATATGGTCCTCACGGTACGAAAAAAACGGCCTCAAGATCCCCATCGAGCAGAATATCCTCGAAGCTATCTCCCCGTTCTCCCCATCCAACCTCACACACTGGTACGTTATCGACCGTCGCCATGGCCACGGCCTGATCGCGGAATTCGAATCCCCAGCTGCGTTTTCCTTCCACTCCATCAATGCTTGGCAGGAAACGAATGATGAAGAAGACATGGATATCTTGGCGGAATTAATCGAGTTCGAGAATTTGGATGTGTTGCATAAGTTTTATTATGAGAATTTGACCAGTGAGGGGAAGAATTCTGTTTCCTTTGATGCTAAGTTCGGGCAGACATCGACGCCGAGATTGGCGAGGTATCGACTTGAGAACATCCCAGCGAAACCGCTGAAACGATCAAGCCATTCTTCTTCTAAGGAGGCCAGGAAAGCAAAGTTGGAATTGACAGTGGAGAAGTCGAAAGTCGGAGAACTACCCACTATCAATCCGAAGTTTGTTACAAGGCAGCATCGGTATGTGTATGGGGTGGTGAATAGAGGGTACTCGAGCTTTTTGGATGGGATATGTAAGACGGATACCAGGACTGGTGAAGCTCTGTTCTGGGATGACCGCGGATGCACACCTGGCGAGGCGATTTTCGTTGCCAATCCCGCCGGAGACGGGGAGGATGATGGAGTCTTGATGAGTGTTGTGCTTGACGGAAAGGCGGTGGGGAAGGAGAGAAGTTTTCTGCTGGTGTTGGACGCGAAGACGATGAAAGAAATGGCGAGGGCGGAGGTGAATGGTGTTGTTGGGTTGGGGTTTCATGGGGTGCATGTACAGCAAAGCGAGATCAAAGTCTGAAATACCGGCGAAATGATATCAATTCATACTTTTAAATAAAGATATCTGTGAGTTTACTCCAGTAAAACCTCATACTCAAAGCCCCCGGCCTTCAACTGATAATCCGGCAAAGTTGCCGGTCCACAAGCCCCGGTTCCCAGTCCGTGGTGTGCCCAGTCCAGCCTAACAATTGTCTCGTCCTTCTTCTTCTTATGCAACTCATAAGGATGCTTAGCTGCATCGATATCACTCGCCGTATAGTGTAAAGCAGTGAAACTGGCCTCTTCCAGCTCCCCAAAACTCGCTTTCAGCAACTTCTTCCCATCCTTTCCATCCAAACTAACCCATCGCGTATCAGTCCGGTTAGCCGTTTCTTGAGGAAACTCATAATCCGTAAACAGCTCGTCAACAGATAGACTGTAGTTCCCAAGCTTCTGAGAGAGCTTCTTATCTCTGTACGATTCCCCCGGTCCCCGTCCAAACCAACTTGCACTCTCAACTCCGTTCAGTCCGAGCGTGAGTCCAATCCTTGCAAATGTGCTGGGAACACTATCACCGCGGAGTTTGCCTTTCACCTTGATAGACAAATGCTTATCCGTGAACGTATAAGTGAACGTGCAGTCCACACTCCATTCTAACACAGGCGGCGCGATTCTCGCGCTCACAACCACAACAAGACCGGCGGGGCCCGGTGTCCACGAGACTGATCGAACATGGGATTTCGTTTGATGTAGTCGATACCCCGTCCAATCTTTTCCAAACACAGAGGGCAGATCATTGTCGGTTTGAGCGCGGTAGAAGTCTAGGATGGGAGGGGTATGGATTAACTCGGATCCGTCGTGGATCCAGGAGATTAGGGTTCCGTGCACGACGTTGAATTTCCATTGCGCGGCTGAGGAGGCAATCTCGAGTATTTGGGGGCTGAGCTGCTTCACGACGGGTGCAGAGGGGGAGCCTTTCAGCGTGGTGAGGGTCTCGGGCTTGGAGAGGGGGATCTGGCCGAAGGCTAGGGTATGGCCTGCTCTGGCCCAGTTTGTTGAGGCAAGGAGGGTGAAGTTTAGTTCGAGGTAGGATTCCCCTGATGGTATCTCAGAGAGACCTTCGATTGGAAGTTCCGCAATTTCCCCGGGCTGCACTCCTGTGAAACATTAGTGGGAGGGACCTCATGCGCATGGATTTCAATACCCTTTGGAATCTTGACCTCTTTTCCAACCTTCTTTGAGCCATCGGAAACTAGGCTCCACTCGCATTTCAGGTGATCTAGAGTTGCGAAGTCGTATCGGTTAATGATCTTGACTTTGTCTTTTGAACCTCCCAAAACTTGAACTGGCTCGATAGCTTTACTATACTCGATGAGACCGGGGGCTGGGGTATGGTTTGAGAAGAGAAGTCCATCCATGACGAAGTTGCCATCGTTTGGTTCGTCGCCGAAGTCTCCGCCGTATGCCATATACTCTTCTCCGTCTGCAGACTTTGTCCTCAATCCCTGAAATACGTTAGTCAGGTTTATCCAAGAGCCGAGTTCAAATTCACATGATTCGCCCACTCCCAAACAAACCCACCCATCAATCTCGGGTACTTGTAGAAAGCATCAATGTACTCCTTGATATTTCCCGGCCCATTCCCCATCGCATGCTCATACTCACACATAACCAACGGCTTTTCCCACGTCTCACTCTCCGTCGCAAACTTGATGATATCCTCGGCAGATGTATACATACGACTATAAATATCGACAGTCTGCGCATCATAATCTCCTTCATAATGAATCAACCTTGTCGGATCATACGCTTTGATAAAGTCGTACATCTTCTGGTGATTTCTCCCGTAGAACGACTCGTTGCCAAGAGACCACATGATCACACAAGCGTGGTTCTTGTCTCTGTAGATCGCTTGTCGTGCTCGATCAATATACGCCTCTTCCCAGGCTGGGTTATCGGATGTCCATCGTGCTGGAGACCTGATTCTGTGTTTCACCTTGTCGATGTCAGACAAGTTCCTGTGCTCAGCGGGTAGTGAAGTGATGTCAACTTCACCGAATCCGTGGCATTCAAGGTCGCATTCGTCCATGACCCATAACCCAAGTTCGTCGGCGAGATCGTACAAGCGAGGATCGTTAATCTGGTGAGATGTCCGAATGGCGTTGATGTTGTGTGTTTTCATCAGGAGGAGGTCTTTGACAAGAAATTCGTAGGGGACAGATCGACCGTGATCTGGGTGGTGCTCGTGGCGGTTGACACCCCGGAATTTGACTGGTTTTCCGTTCACCAAAAAGACGCCGTTCTTCAGTTCAGAGTTACGGAAGCCAACTCGTTGCTGGACTGTGCAGTCGGATGTTGAAAGCACGAGTTGGTGGAGATAAGGCGTTTCCGCCGTCCATTTGTTAGGATTCTTAATTAGAAAACTGAATGCTGTGCTGGGACTTGCAGACTGTGATGCAGAGACAACAGTTGTTCCGGTGGCATCGAGTAGCTTGAGATTGACGTCTGACTTGGTGTTCAGATCTACCTCCACTGAAAGAGTTGCATCTTCGTACTTTGAGTCAAGGAGAGTTTGAATCTTGAAGTCCTGGAAATGCACTTTGGGGAATGCCAGCAGATTCACATCCCGGAAGATACCACTCAACCACCATTGATCCTGAAATGCAGTCAGTACCAATTTGAGCTGCTCACAATTTCCGCACCACTTACTTGGTCCTCGATATAGCTACCATCACAGAATTGGTACACCTGCACAGCCAGAGTATTCTCCCCATCGACATCCACTAAAGCGGTGATGTCAAACTCGGAAGGACTTCTCGACCCTTGGGAATACCCAACTTCTTTTCCGTTCATCCAGACATGGAACGAAGAATCAACCCCCTCGAATCTCAACCTCAGCTGATCACCCTTAAAAGCTTTGGGGACTGCGAAAGTACGAATATAGCTCCCAGTCTCATTGTCGTCATACGGAACGTGAGGAGGATCAACCGGGAAGGGGTAGATCACATTCGTATATCTGGGAAATCAGTCACCGCCTTCAATCCGGTATGGCGACATACTGAGGCCCTTTCCCATAGCCTTGTAGCTGCCACATCCCAGGAACTTCGATCTTTCCCCATTTTTGTGCATCAAATTTCTTTTCGAAGAAATCTGGAGGTGCATCGAATGGACTTTTCGCAAGACTGAATTTCCAAGTCCCAGAAAGAGAGAGGGACCTAGATTTCGTCGTATCACGTGCCAGTGCGTTGGCCTCATTGTCGTAGAGATGGAAAGAGGCTCGTGGAGGAAGCGCGTTCTTATGGATCACCTCCAAGTTACTCCAGTCTGGAAGACCTTTGGGAAAAGTATGTGTCTCCGTCATTTTGAGATCATCTGAAGATGTAAGGGAGGTTCGATCGTTCTGTTGATTTCCAGTTTTCAGATTGATGTGGACGAAGCCATGAGGACCTTCTTCAGTCCTCGGAAGTTCTCCGTGTTCGCCGGTTTGAAGTTGCCCCATAGTGATTTCTATGGGTCCAGGAAGTTGAGATCCTTGGCGGTGGTCGTCTGCCGGGGCTGATCGGGGAAGCGCAGGAAGGGTGGGGGTCTCGGGGAGACTGTCAGACACTGATCCTTGAAAAGGCGCCTCGCGATGGGCGCGCGCCTCAGTGGGTTCCATTAATTGCTTGGCTTGGAGGCGATCTCTTGCAAGTTGCAACTCGGTGGTTCGGGAGAATGATTTCCCACAATTGAGGATAAAGTTTTGACGGAAAGTTTTGCGCTGATTCGGCGAATATGGATCGCATCACAAGCGGTGTGCCACTGCTCCAGAATCAGCACCTGAATGTACAGTACACAGATAGATTTTGACCCACTCCCATAGATACCAGGAGCCTTTCTAGTAGCAGCGCCGGCATAGGGGTCGCTCTATTGCGCCTCTCGCGGCCTTGAAGGGCAGCACTTTTCGTGTGCAACCTCGTATCAAGCACATCTCGAGAAACATGACTCGCAGTTACATGCTTGTACTGTAGTACGAGTACAGGTACCCCACAGCACTTCCCCGCAGAGTGCCGAAGTCCACCCTCCACCCTCCCCCTGGACCAAAATCTCGTTGAGATGCCCAACCGGATCATTCATACTGCCGGCTTTTGGTGTTGGAGGCTGGCAGTCTGGCATCCGGCTCAAGCCTCCTCCGCCTCCACTGACGTGATGAAACGGACCAAGATCTGCCACAGCCGTTGAGGGTTGTCAACCGTTTCCTGTGTCTGGGCGATCTGGGTAACGTTCGCACCATACAAGTAATTTTGAAATGCTGAGGGGCCTTCTTGTCTCCCATGGATGGGGTTGATCCGATGAAGCCAGGAAATGGAATGGGAAGAGAAGTGGACAGGTCACAGGTTGACCCCCAATGTAATGTGTGCCGAGGCTGAATTCTGCATGGCACCAGGGTCTTGAGGCGATTCCAAGTCAGCAACTGTGGATACCTTTCGCGAACTTGCACATGTTTTTAAGCTTTCACGGCTCCAGATCAATCGATGGTCGGATCTCTCGCCCTGCCATGGCACCAGCATGGGCTTCAGCCGGCCCATATCGACCAAGCAAATCCCTAATTATCAGCCACACACAATTTGCTGCGTCTCAAACTCTCTGCACTTCCAAGTTCCAAGAGGACACCAAATTGCCGTCAAATGCCGATAATTTCTTCGGATGCTCGACCCCGACTTGGGACGAGCTCCGTTGTTGCAAGTGGAGCGCTTCCAGAGTTGGAGGTGAGGAGATCCTGGGGGCTGCCCCATGGGAACCAACATGGTTAGGTATAAAGGAGAAAGGACCCGCACTGTTGGCTTGAGTTGACAGCAGTATCACATTCACCTTATCTTCATTTCCTTTCAAGGTCAAAACCCTACAGGAGGAGTTCATCATGTCGACTCTCAAGACTGATACGACAGGTGCCGAGCACCATGAAAAGTCTGCCGGTGTTGATCAAGCCCCAGTTGTTGACGAGAAGTATGCCACGGGCAAGGTTATCGAGGTTCAGGCTGCGTCGGTGGCCCTTGCTGCCGCTCTTGCTACACAGAAACCGAATCTACTTTCTAAGAATATGTTGAAGCTTTGCTTCATCATGTCTGTCGGGTACTTGATCTCAACGATGAACGGCTTTGGTAAGATCCCCGACGCCCTCGCACCTTTCTTGACTAACCCTTCACAGATGGTTCCCTCATGGGAAGCCTGAATGCCATGACGCCTTACCAAACGACTTTTGGTCTTAACGGTGCCGGTTCCAGCACTGGAGTCATCTTCATCATCTATAATCTGGGCCAAATCGCAGCTTTCCCTTTCTGTGGCATCTTGGCAGATGGATACGGGAGACGGGTGTGCATCTTCGTTGGATGTTTCATTGTCCTAGTTGGAACCGCTGTTCAAGCATCTGCCAACGGGAGAGGGCAATTCATCGGTGGCCGATTTATCCTTGGTCTCGGCGCATCTCTGGCTTCTGCAGCAGGACCAGCATACACCGTTGAGCTTGCTCACCCTGCATATCGCGGTACAATGGCTGGGATGTATGTTTACCCGAAAACACCTCTTTTAAGACCCGAGACTCATTTAATTTAGGTACAACAACTTCTGGTGGGTTGGAAATATTCTTGCCGGTTGGACTACGTATGGCTGCCAGAAGTAAGTATGTCCCATGCCAACTCTACATACTGTTTCTCACAAAATAGGAACATCGAAACGTCCTGGGCTTGGAGAATCCCAACCATTGTGCAGGCCGGTCTACCTTCAATCGTTATGGTGCTCATCCTCTTCTTCCCCGAATCACCCCGTTGGCTCATTGCCCACGACCGTCGAGAGGAGGCTCTTGCGATTTTCGCAAAGTACCACGGTGAGGGCGATGAGCACTCTCCTGTTGTTCAACTCCAGTACCATGAAATTATTGAGAAAATGGCTCTCACGCGAAACGAGAATCCGTGGTGGGACTTCAGCGAGTTGGTCAACACCAGAGCAGCACGATATCGATTGTACATGGTTATCGGCATGTCTTTCTTTGGGCAATGGTCAGGAAATAATGTCGTCAATTACTTCATGGTATTATCCTCTTTATGTAGTGGAGTTTACTTTCTAACCGTTCTACAGCCTGAAATGATTAAGAACGCAGGCATCACAAGCACCAACAAACAACTCCTGATCAACGCCATTAACCCGATCTTCTCAATGATGGGCGCTGTCTACGGTGCCACTTTGCTAGATAAACTCGGCCGTCGTGTAATGATGCTGGCAGGCCTTGGTATGGGCCTCGTCGCCTACGTTCTCCTTACTGCCTTCACCGCTGCCTCCGAAACCCACCCCAACCTGTCCTACGGCGTCATCGTCTCTATTTTCCTCTTCGGTGTCGTCTTTGCCTGGGGTTTTACCCCACTGCAGACTCTATATGCAGTTGAGTGCCTCGAGAACCGCACCCGTGCCAAAGGCTCTGGACTCAACTTCCTCTTCCTCAACGTTGCTATGGTGGTAAATACTTACGGCATCAGTGTCGGTATTGCCAAGATTGGGTGGAAGTTGTACTTGGTCTATATTGTTTGGATTGTCGTCGAATTGGTTATTATCTACTTCTTCTTTGTAGAGACGGCGGGCAAGACGTTGGAAGAGATGCATGATATCTTCAACGCGGATAATCCGAGAAAGGAGAGTACTAAGAAAACCAAGGTGGAGATTGACGAAACGGGCAGGGTAGTCAACATTGATGCGTGAATGCTAGGTGGGCAAGTGACTTGGGGAGGACCTCCTCAGGGAGGTTGCCCGTGTCACGCCATCACATAATGCCCCTTTCTTCAACGAGGAAGAGTATTATCCCATGTTTGTGATTATCTAGCAGCACAGCATTGAGAACCGCATATTAAATATTCTACATTTCCACCGCCTGATTCCCGTACACCAAAGGGTCAAATTTGTCGCAACCGCGCTCCGACAGAATCCAACCACCAAATTATTGCATTCCTCTAAGACATCAGTTCGCCAACTCCCGTGGCTCCCAGAACTCAAGTCAACGTATTGGTTCCCATCAACCAAGTCCCCAGAATCAATTCCTACGAAGCCTCTGATATTGGAATTCTTACTAGCACGCAACCATTACACCGACTTCGTAAAGTCAATCTCAACCCTCCTTACTTTACCAGAGTTCGAATCTATCATCTGCAAAACATCACCCGTAACTTGTAACCATGAATCAATAGGTTTTCGCGTTTAACTAGAATAAGATGGACACGGCATTCGCTCCTCAGGCCAATCGACCCATTTCTCTCCCAATCCGTCGCATTTGCTCCATTTGTCCGGGGTTGGAAAATAACTGCACCGTCCTTCATCAGCTCCATGCTGAATTAGGTTCCCTGATCGGTATTCGATTCAAAGCTCCAAGCAATGGGTGTATGCGGCCTTACGACCCCGCGAGCAACATCCCACCGCGCGCTTATCTGTCCTCGGTGCTTCGAATTCCAGTTTCATCCTCGGCCACTGATTCCGTTCAGCATGAATGGCATACCAAGGGTAGTAGGATTCGCTTCCACGAAGGTAGTATTGAAATCAGAGAGAATAAAGGAGTCAAATGGAGTGAGTGGGTTGCCGCCCGTGAAGATTGAACCGTTAATGTAGACGCCGTCGAAAGCTTGGGAGCTGGAACTGTCAGTTGCCAACTAACCTACCTGATATTAACCCCTGTTTGGCCAGGGCATCAGACCTTATATATGTAACGTTGTGATGGAATTTATTTGAGAATAGTGTGACTGGGGAGCCGGGTTTCATTGCATTCCTATGCTTTTCGATACGTCGTTAAGGGACTCGCACACCGCAGGTGCCCCACACTATGTCCGGCATCTTCTTTCTTAGAGATAATAATTGCTCAGACTCAAAGATTCTTTTTCAAGAATGAAATTGGGTTCGAAATTTCTAGGGAGAAGTCAACATACGAAAGCGTGTACGTGGGTCCAAATCTGTGTCTTCACCACAGCTCGCCTCATTGGACCCGTCAGGGGCTTAAGCGAACACGCGGATTCGATCAAAGGACAAGTTGCCTCTAGCCTGTAGGACACGAGATTTTTCATCTTTTTACTCGCAGCTCGTGCTGTCGCTGTTTAAGATCACCCGCTGGAGCTTTTTTGTTTTTTTTGAACTTGGTTATGGTGCGGTAATACGTACTCTACTGAGCCCGTGGGGGTCGCAAAGGCAGTATGGCCAATGCCAAGAGTTCCTACAGTCGGGCGTCTAGAATAGAAAGAGGGTGGCTATTTTCAACAGGTGCAGCCAGGGCAGCGAGCTTCATCGAGGGTGATTCTACAGTCTGTGGTGAGCCAACAGAAGTATTACAGCACTGTCCAACATAGCTAATTGCGCCATCTTCAGTTTAGTCCTAGATGCGATCCGAGAGCTTTTAAGCAGCCTAGCGCTCACCTTTCTCAAATCTCATCATCTTCTGAATCCATAGCAGAGGTCCAGAGGGGATTGCGTTGGGCCAGGCAAAGTCACACCAGGATTGGACTCCAGCTTGATTCATTTTGTAATTCGTGGAGTGGTGCCACGAGCCTCAAGATGCTGGAACAGTTGATTGATGCTGAAGCCTCACATTGTTATAAACATTTCGAGAAAAATGCAGCCAAACGATTAGATGTTGGACGAGGAGTTTCTTGGGTCCCACTCTGCAACCTCCGGGGCACAATATCTGGGAGTTATGGGTGCTTGTCTAATTGTGGTTCGCAACTAGCCTGTTGAAATGGACATTTATTGACAATAGCAGCTGGCCCTTTAAACCAAGGATTTGGGGGCATATATATACATGGTAGCTTGATTTGTCAGGTAATGCCCATGACAAATCAGCTAACGTGCAGAAATGGAGAAATTAGTAAGCTGACGTCCCGTGACGTCACTTTCAATATAGCCTCTGACCAATCTTGACTGATTCCAATGTCCGTAAGTCCCCTTGTAGACGAGCACATCCCGGGGCTTTATGTCTTTGTGCCTGACTTGAATTCGTGAAGGTATCGTACAGCAACGGTTAGACATCCAAGAATTTACTAGCAACGAGATGCTGTGCATCGAGGAATTCCTTGCGTGGTGCTTGGTCGGAAAAAGCATGTGTGAGGTCTAATTGGTGAAGTCTAATTAGTGAAGGGGAATTCGAGGCCAGTTAGGTTAGGATCAGTACGCGCAAATCGGGTATGTACCCGCCCAAGAAGAATTCCGGGGGCCAGCCATTGTCTCACACTTCAACACTTCGGATATTCGCGTTGTTTAATGAGTTGTGCCAAGGAATCGGTCACAAGGAATCTGTCTCTACGTCATTATCCGCAATCCAAGGATGTTCGCCAATTGCTATGCGAGTTATACTCCTTGAAGGCAGATGGAAGCATATTCGAGGGAAGGAATGACCGAATTTTTCCGATTCTTGGCATTGAGTTAATCGGATCGCAAGTCCAGGGCAAGATTATGTTATAGCTAATGGATTCACTTCTGACTTTCCTGCAAGTTATTATGCATTGCTCTATAATTTATCGCTCATTATTGTACTCTTATCAGATGCCTTGAACCGTGATCAAATTCGAGAGCTAGCTAGAGCGGAGACTGAAGCTAAATATAAGAGAGTAAGGGGAACCATATAAAGAAAAGCAGTGGAGCCTGCTGAGCCGAGGAGTGGCAATAAGGGGTGGGAACACGTGACGCCACTATCGTACAGTGCTGTACTGTACTATCTGACAACTCTCTATCCGCTTAGTTTATAAGAAGAGGATGTGGAAGGGGGACTGGGCCCTCACCCCGCGGTTGAATATATAACGGATAGGACTTTAAGCATGGTCGGGTCAATTTTTCATTCTAGATATTTAGGGAAGTAACTAGAGAATGCGGTTGAACTGGGAGCTCTAAAGCTTATCTCTACTAATAGTAAGAGCCTACTTATTCGCCAGGGGCACCCAGTCGCGCGACTTCGTTACCCCTTGGTCTGGCAAGACATGGTCCGTATTAGCCAGGGGGCCTTTCTCAGGGCGAAAAGGCGTACCTTCGCTTAAGAACTTATTGGTCATATATCGCCTTTTCGCCCTGAGCCAAGCCCCCTTGCTAGTACGGACCATGTCTTGCCAGACAAAGAGATAGCTCCTTGCTCTATATTACGTAGATTGCGCAAGTAGGTAAGAACATATCTCTTATATAATACACTATAGCTTGCTTATAGGAAGCTATATTAAAGCGCAGAGCTATATTTATATATAAAGCGCATTCACGTATAAAGCTATATTTATGTGCAGTATTCAGGTGTGGAGCTGTTGTAATGGGGATATAAAACAAGTAGTAATATATAGAGTAGAATGGGCTTCCACAGTGTGGGATCACAGTGTACGAGTGAGACGTGAAATTAGAAAGTGAAGGTTGGTTTATTTCTAAGAACTAAGAAGGAGAGAGGGGTAATATAAGCGGACTGCGGACTGTACGGATGTCCGGAGGTCACATGCCAGAACCACGTGACCAGGTGATAAAATCCCCACCACACTGTATTTAGGTACAGAGCTGTATTTATATATAGGCGGGGCTATAGGCAAGCAAAATAAGGCTATTTGCAAGGCTTGGCAAAAGGCATACCCTAGGGAGAAACAGTAGACGTGCGTCGTATTCAAGGAGGCGAGTATGCGAGCAGGGCCGTAAGAGAGTATACGAGAAATAAGGTATTTAAAGAAAAAGTTTATAAAATCGAGGATTTTTAAATATAGGAGATTGGGAAAGACATAATAATTATCTCATTATATAATATTGGCTTCTAGAGCTGCCTTACCCAGTTTTATTATTATTATATAACTAAAAGAGAGTTAATATATTATCGAGTACGAAGATAACTCTTTGGGCGGACAATCCCGGTCTGGGAATGCTACGCGAGCTAAAGGGAAAGACTAAAACGACCCCCCCCCCCCGGTGTCGATTAGGGGTGTCGATTACCAGGATTAGGGGTGTCGATTGGGAGCAGGCTAGGCGCTCGGACAGGAACACCAAAACTCTGGCTTTTTCTTGATTTTAATTTAATTTTATAATGAATTAATATAATTTAATACTTGTTTTATTTCCTTATAGCGCTAATTAAAGGCTATTTAATTATACACCTTTTATAACATTTGGATTAGTAATAGTTCTTTAAATTAAAGAAATTAAAAGTTTTATATTTTATAGCCTATAGATAAGCTTAAGCAAGCCTAGAAATTTAGCGAAAAAGTCCCTAAAACCAGATTTAAGAGCCCTATAAGCCCAAAACTTATAAGGCCTTATAGGGCTTAAAAACTAAAACTTAATTAATTAGTATATAAACTTCCTAAAATTAAAATACTATTTTAAGGAATCTTTTTATTATAAGTTAGAAAGCACGTGATTACAGTACAGGGGTTATAATATACTAGCTTAGACTTATATTGAAAAATCTAATTTCAGATTTTTAAAGAGCTCAGATAGCCAATTAAATACCCCTGCCCCAATCGACACCCCTAATCGACACCGGGGGGGGGGTTAGTCTTTCCCGAGCTGAACAGGGATTTGGCAGGAGTCAGCAGGGGCACACTTATATTTATCTGCTGTATCTACAAGTTCTGGTTCAATGTACAATTTCCTCGGCTAACTGCTATTTAAAGCAAAGTTTGAGCGAACAAAACCTTGGCCCTCAAAGTTAGTTTGGCCTTCAAATCTTGAAGTCAAGTTCTTGGACAAACGGCGTCCTCTGTGAGATCCTGATTTGAAGCTAATCGTACCTTCGAGCTCAATTCGACCTCGACATTCTTGCAAAGGGAGACTCAGGACAGAGAATGCTTACCTCCCCAATTAAATACTAAAAGTGTGCCCTTCGCACCGACATTCTGCCATTCAAAACCCCCTGGTAAAAGGGCCCCCTTTTTAATTTTATTTAGGGAGGAGAGGGTCCTGGCAGAATCTGATCTGATAATGACTAAAGTCAAGGCAATGTGGGACCCTATGCTTCTTTGAGCAGGGTGGCTGCCAGGCTTGTCCGGAACCTTCGCGCGATTGTCGAGGGTGAAATGCCGACGCGATTCTTGCTGCTATATTATTCAGGGGAGGGATTATGCTTGCATACTCTGGTACAATCATCACAGGTTCTTTTGTACTGGTTGCTATTTGGCAGGAGCTGGACTCTCGGAGGAAAACAAATCCCCGTGGTGCAACATGAGGGGAAGTCTTCTTTCGAGCGTATTTGCCGGAGGAAAGGCAGAATCTACTGGAATGGACCAGGTTTTGCAAATTAATTTCACGTACTACTTAGTTGTTATTGCGCCGAATGTGTTAATAAGAGTTCGTAACCGTCAGTCTCGTATTCAATTTCTTTGACGTCGTTCTATATTTCAATCTTCCTCACCGGGCGGCATAGTTTTGTTAAGGTTGGGTTAGCTCGCCCATAAACACTTCAACAGATCTCGACGAATCCGTGCTTAAAACTTGCCTTATTTTGTAGGACAGATTCCGACACCTCTAACCTCATTAGTTTGCGTTCGCGTGCAGCAGCAGTTGGCTATACGTCTCTCAGTTGGTTGACCTTTCCGCAATAACCGAAGGAAAATCATCATTGGATCCCCTATCATCGCGAATTCCGCAAGCTGGAAGACGTCTCCGATCGGACCATTGCATACTTGAGTAAAGTTCTCGCCGCGGCCAGGCAATCCGCCCCCTCTTTGCGGGGGGTGAAACCCCCCACTTCCGACTGGTCAATTTGCAGCAGTCCCAGCGGGAAGGACAGTTCCCCGGTTGGTCTTGCCATCTCCAGCGACGTTGATGTCCCAATGGCTCAGAGTCCCAGACTTGGCGAGTGCATCATCTGTCCTACGTGGCACTGCACGGTGGCTGCAGACTGCAGTCGTCGGGAAAAGACCTCCTTCAGGTGGGATCCACTACGGTCCACTTACAAAGGCAGTGGCCCCAGTTGGGCCCGCACTGGGCGTTCGTTCGGCCCGGGGCGTGCCATTCATTCGGGTCTGGGTCAGCTTCCTTTCCACGTCGGTCGCATGCTCACGTTGAAGGTGTGTGTAACAAAATCGTCAATGGTGAAACTACTTTTGATCATCCTATTAGCAGAATTTAAGGATCAGTGAAGAAGAAGCTAACGGGGCTCCGGAGAAACTGAGTTGACGATCCATACCACCGACTTTAAACAGTGCCCTTCAGTCAGCGCAGCGTCCCATCATATCCACAATTGAGCGCGGGGCTAAGCATCGGGGGGTGTTACCAGACTTTCCCCACCCGCCCTCATGCCGCATCAATCATTTTAAGCAGAGTGCCTCCGATACTACTGCTGCCATTGGAAGGTCTCTCTAAGATAATGCATTTGCCTTCAGACACCTGCTGCAGAAAAGAGGGGATCCGTTGTCTTTTGGGCATCGTCCCCCGAGAGAAGACAGATTCAATGAGGCCAGCGTTTGGTCAAATTGATAGCTCGGCGCGTGCAGATGGTTGCGCCTAAGAGACTTGGGCACCGAGCTCCCCAAATCCAGTTTACCTTTCTCTTTGAGCGAGGGGCTGGTTGACCCGTTCCACGCCACGTTGGAGGATTTCAACATATAAAGGGGAAGCAGGACTGTGACAACCTCCCCCCAAAACTAAAACATTACTTGAACGATCTTCTCTGTGACCTGAAATTTAATATCACCATCCTCTCACTCATGTCGTTCCACCGACTTCTCGCGCCAGAGGAGAACTCGATACAAGCTCCAGCTCCACATCGTTCTATCCACAGGGAGAAAATACCCTCCCAGATCAAGACATTCTCGTCAATCTCAGTGGCACTTGCGGACTTCCAATATGCTGCCACGAACGTGTCTTCATTCCTGAATCACGAGGTTCTCGTCACCGAAGCATTACTTCGTTCCAATGCTGGTACGACACTCGGAGGGTTTCTATTTGCCATTATACCACGACTCTTGCTCCCTCCAATGCCACTCTACTCAGCTCTAGAACTCGTCGTCAAAATCTGCGTCGTAGGCGTTGGCTTTCAATATGCCATGGACATCGTCAATCAAAGGATGGGCGTTGCTGAAGATACCGTCAACAAACCGTACCGGCCAATCCCCGGTGGTTTGATATCGCTTCGTGGAGCAGACGCTCGTTGGGTCTTCGCATGGATCCTTTTCCCACTGCTGTCATATACCTTGTCCGGGTACTGGGTCGGCATTTGGGCCCTGGTCTGGCAGGCGGAGGTCAGTTTTTGTTACGTATGGCCCAAACCCAACAATCCGGTAGTGCGCAACCTCTTCACCGGCGTGGCAACCTTCATCATAATCTCACTCGTCAATTCGGTCGTTGTGGGGCAACACCTAGGCAGGAACATGCCTCTTGTGCTACGTGCCTCATTGGCGGGATGGGCTGGACTCATCATTCAAATCCAGGAGTTTCATGATGTGGAGGGCGATCGCATTGCTGGGAAGAAAACACTGCCCTTGGTTCTTGGGGAAACGAAGGTTTGGCTAATGAGGTATGCAACGTGCTGGGTGTTCTTTACAACCCATGCTCTCTTCCTGCTTTGGGGCTTGGTGCTTGCCCAATCGTCTTCTTGGCCTCATGGTATCTACGCTGCAGGAGCTATGCAGGTAGTTCTCGGAGCTGCGGTTGGATTGAGAGTCATATGGTCGGACTCGATGGCTAAAGATAGGGAGACCTATTTCTACTGGCTGACGGTGCTATTTTGGCTGATGATTGTGTATATCAGTCTACTGAGCACAGCAATGTAAATAGAGCGAAACCGGGGATGCTGGTGCTGGAAGACTACGAGGGCTTCTTAATTTGACAATTTGATTGGGTTTTCTGTTCAGATGACTGGCCGAGCCTCGTTTCGAAGGGCTCCGTTGTCTTGCGCCAGCTCACAGAGCTGTGGTGTCTATGGAATGCATATAGTCTGATTTTATCGATATAATCATAAGGGGTCTTAAATTGTATTGATTTTATGGTATTAAAACCATGTGGCTGCACTAGCCCAATCCAGCTAGTGGGGAAAACTTGAAATTGCTCTACTGTAGCTTTGAGAGTGAGAGGAGTAAACAAGAGCAAAAGGAGCAGGAATTGTCCATCAATTTAGCCACCGTGGCCCCCTAGAAAAGAAGGGACGCTCTGTAGGCCCCGAATTCAGGGTATACAACTCCTCAGAGCAATCCAGCGATTTTCCTGTGTCTCTTATACTCCACGTGACATAGATATCTTCTCTGCCTCTATCGATACAGTCGAGTTTCATTACATAATGTAATCAATATAATCAAAGCGGGGGATAGTTCATGCAATACCCAAGTAGTGTCGGAGACGAGACTCAGATTACCGCCGAACGACGTGGCCGCTGGGCCGACTAAAGTAACCGACGGCCTAGCTGCGGCGGTGTGGAGCGGTCGTGGGGTTACAACGCATCAAGACATGCAGCGGTGCTGCAATGCACCCGAAACGAAGGCCCTCATTCCGCCGTGCTCTCTGAAGAACAGCAATAATTGGCGAGTGAACCTTGACGCTGTCTCTGGAAAGCGATAGGTCATCCATCCAGTTTCTTATCTTGGCGATCTGTGTGTGGTATAACTTGGAATGAGAATAGCAGGTCCGTTTGTCGGTGAGAGCCCTGAATGCTCCACTCCACCTCCAAAGTCTTTCAAGACAGGAGCTTGCGTGCGAGAGCAAGACAAGAAATGTCAAATCGAAGCACAAAAACACCAAATTGCTAGGGAAGCATTGCACTGGAAACAGATTTGAAGCGCTTCTAAGCTCCCCTCCAAGAGCTACTTCAGCTACCCCACCAAGATGACGGCATGGGAACTACTCTCCGCCAGCCCTCTCCTTTCTTTCGTGGCTCTCGTTGTTCTTGTAAGAAAAATCTCCTGTTAGATATTCCTGGATCAAGAAGCGCGAAGCTGACGATTGTGATTGTGAAGTACAATATCAGTACCAGCATCTACAATCTCTTTTTCCACCCCCTCAGTAAATATCGAGGTCCGACAATTGCATCGGCAACTCGAATTCCACTGACATATGCGTTGATATGTGGAGAGGGGCCGAAATGGATTCGAATCCAGCACGAACAATACGGCAACGTCGTACGAATTGCTCCCGACGAGCTCAGTTACATGGCCACCGAAGGATGGAGAGACATCTACGGCTCAACTCCAGCCGCAAAATATGGAATGAAGAGATCTGATGACTTCTTTGCATACTTCTTTGACAAACAGTCAACAGAGGCGAGCATTGTAAGCGCGAACGAGGAGGGTCATCGTCGGCTCAGGAAGATATTCTCACGAGCTTTCTCGAAACCAGCACTCGCTGCACAAGAACCCCTCATCACTGAGAAAGTTGACCTCTTGATAGAAAACCTCAAACAGGCGTCAAGAGCAGGCAAGCGGGTCAACATGGTTGACATGCACTGCTTCACTGTCTTCGACATCATCGCTGATCTGATGTTCGGAGAATCTCTCCATCTGTTGGACGACGACAACTCACCAAACGCAAGCTGGGTGAGATCTGTTCCGGGATACATTGCAGCAAGCATTTGTTTAGGCGCTGTTGCAAAGTTCCCCATCGTCAGAATGACACTGGCCCTTTTCGCACCCCGCCTTGTGGCAAAGCACTACAAGGAGTTCCTGAAGTCCACGAGCGATAAAGTGGATGTCCGCTTGGCATTGAAGGAAGAACGGGGAGACATCATTCACTTTCTCACTGACCCCAACGAGAAAATGTGTCTGTCTCGGCCCGAGGTCGACAGCGCTGCCGTGGTCCTGATGCTGGCAGGAAGTGATACGACACCATCAATCCTCTGCGGGCTCAATTACCTGTTGCTAGCCCATGGGGAGGTTCTAGCCAAGCTCGTAGAAGAGATTCGATCTTCGTTCATATCGGACGAGGATATAACTTTAGAATCAGTTTTCAAGCTGGAGTATCTCGGTGCATGTATCGATGAGGGCTTCAGAGTGTACCCGGCGGCTCCAATTGGATTTCCTCGTGATGTCCCCGTTGGCGGTGCTTCGATCTGTGGGAGCTTTGTGCCTGGAGGAACAACAGTCTATGTGACACCACTAGCAGCATACACCTCTCCTTCGAACTTCCACAGCCCGGAAGCCTTCATACCGGAGAGATGGCTGCCTCAAGCAGAAGCAAAGTATGCCAGTGACAAGAAAGCTGTCGTGCAGCCTTTCTCCATAGGGCCTCGAGATTGTCTTGGAAAACCGTAAGTTGAGGTCATTTATTAATCGATGGGACCATACTGACTTGTGCGGTAGCATGGCATATTTTATGATCAGGATGATCTTCTGCAAGATCCTTTGGAATTTCGACGTGGTGCTCGAGCCGGGCAACGAGAACTGGATAAAGGACCAGCGGATTTATGGAACTTGGCAGAAGCTGCCCCTGATGGCGAAGCTGTATCCTGTCAAAAGGGGATAGGCATGGAGGTCGAAATGTTGGTCGAGTTTCTTCTGCAGGCGTCTTGGGGGTCGCGATGAGGGGGGTGCGGGGTGTGGCGGCTTTGAAGGTTGCGAGCAGAGCACAGTTTTCCGATCTTGTATATGTGCCGTCTGAAGTGACACAAGTTTTTCCAGTGTTGCGGAGCAAGTTTGCGTTACCAACATGTCAGATATCAAGAGAAGTTAGGTGGTGGTGGTGGTGGTGAAAAGGGGAGTCAGAGAGCGGAGTTAGTTATTGCTTGTTCCGCGCAGCTTGACTGTGCAGTCCCCCGTAGCAATGGTCTTCTGTGCTCCCCAGATCCAGCTCCATGGATCGATCGCCCAGCGACTCGGATTCCCGGGTTTTCCACACCACCTTCTCCCGACCGAATGAAATGGACTCAACGACGGAAACGGTAGCAAATGGAACCTCTCCTATACCAGACCTCGACGCATACGCAGATGCGCCCCCATTCGTGACAGAACACGAGCCAGCCTCGACCCTCACCCTCGCCGATGGCTCAAGCACCACAGGCTCCAGCATCAGCAACCAAGCCCTCGAAGCTGACTCTGTAGGGCCTGCTTCCTCAGATGGCGACTCAAAGGCCCAGAGCCCGAACTATGCGGCAAGTTCTGTGCCATCACTGCGGTCTCACGTCTTCAACTTCGTGGTGGAGCAAGGCCGAACGTTCCACAGGTATCGGGAAGGGAAGTATCCTCTACCCAACGACAACCGGGAGCAGGAGAGATTGGACTTCCAACATTACTTCATGCTCATATTGTTAGATGGGAAATTGCAGTTATCACCGGTTGGAGAGCCGCAGAATGTCCTCGACATCGGGACAGGAACAGGCATATGGGCCATCGAGTTTGCGGACCGTCATCCAACTTCCAACGTCATTGGCACAGATCTGAGTCCTATCCAGCCCGACTTTGTGCCCAAGAACTGCTTCTTCGAAATCGACGATGCTGAGGACGACTGGATTTTCTCGGAGAGGTTCGACTTTATACATATGCGGGGAATGATGACTTGTTTCGCAGACCCTAAATCAGTTATGCAGAAGGCGTACGATCAGTTAGCCCCTGGCGGATATTTGGAGATGCAAGACGGGATCTTTCCTTTGCAATGCCACGACGATACACTGGCGGGGACAGCGTTGGATCAATGGGGCAGGGCGTGCGTGGAGGCCGGCGAGGTGATGGGAAGGGCTTGGACCAACGCAAGATATTACAAGCGGTGGATGGAAGAAATTGGGTTTGAGGAAGTCAAGGAGAAGATATTTGAGGTTCCAACGAGCAGTTGGCCTAGGGGCAAGAAAGTGAAGGAGCTGGGTTTATGGTTTCACGAAAATATGATGGATAGTCTCGGTGCGAGTAAAGTGCTACTTAACAAAGCATTGGCTTATCAGCCAGACGAAGTAGAGTTGCTTCTTATGGAGGTCAGGAAGAATCTCAAAAATAAGGGAGTGCATGCTTATATGCCGCTGTGGGTTTACCCGATACTTTGGTCATAACATGCTGACGATTCTCAGATATATTACCTATGGAAGGAAACCTGTAAATGGCGGATCCCAGCAGGACCACACCGAACTCCAGCAACACAAAGTCGATGTATCCCAGCAGAACGAAGCCATAGATATCTCTCAGGATTCTGATTCGATCGCTGCCTATTAGTGCCGCATCGCAGCACATCTGTCCCTCATACCCAGACTCGGCATTATCTGCTTCAAATTCTACCATCGCAACCAAGTCCAGAAAACCAGCGATTTACCTCAGCATCAGTTCCATGTCTTTGAGTATTTGCAAAGATGCGGGAGGGACCCTTCAGTGATTCTGACACCCGAATTGTTCTTTCCAACAACCACCTCTCGCTCTGAATCGATACTACGAACCTTGTAATATTCCGCTCGGACGGGAAGTCTGAAGAACACACAATAGGTCCACAAGACTGAGATAAATGAAGTCTCGATAAGGTTCCAGGGGTGCTCATTAGTTCCGAACGAACGATGGCAGGGCATGATGACAATAAGATCGCCCACGCATTTTGAAGCCAACCTCGCACGTTGCCGGCGTTGCCGGCCACACCCACCTGCGGAGCGCTGAAAGGAAGCGCTGCAATATCCGACCTGGAGGGGGTTTACGTATAGTCATCCCCGGGCTGTAGGACTCATGGCTTCTGGCGAAAGCATCTGGATTTTGGTTCTGGGAGGAGCCACCCGTCAGCTTGCTAAATTGCTAATGGCCTTGTGGCCTTGCAAGACCATCAAGACTGTCTACCCGTTGTCGATGGGCGGATCTGAAATTGGTCGTTGGGAGCGATGGATTTCTAGATATCAAAAGGTTGAAGTCTCCTTATGGGTAGTCCAGGATGAAGTTGGGAGCTCGGTTCGAGACACATGATGTCGTTGTGTATTTTAGACGATGTGAGGGCTTAGCTTGGTTCTAAGCGAAGCGCTAGTTCTAGGAGCGAGCGATTATTTAAGGAGCCCTGAAAACCTAGTTTCTTAGAAATCAAGTCCGCCTTTGCAGTATGCACCCTACCTCACCTCCTGCTCTGACCAGGTCTCACCACTCAACGAGAGGGATGTGCGGGATGCCCGAGATACCCGGGCAGCCAGGAAGAGGACTAAGGATGATACCTCGATAACAGAAAACTCTTCTCTGCAACAATCATGGCCGAGCTGTTGGCCCAGCTGTTGAGCCTCGGCACAACATCTTGAATATAGAAAAGGGTCGACGTCGGCGTCCCCGTCTGGGAAAATGTTTCCTGCATTCGGGCGGCAGTTGCACTGATTCATGTGAGCCCTCGGCACTGATGCTGGCACTTCAGCCCTGGCCGTTCGACATCCCGCCCAAAACCCCATCGTACTGTACAGTACAGTAAGTAGCTTGAGTCGCACAACATACTCGTACTGTACCTCGTATGACGCAAACTAGACCATTGTGCCGACCTCTGCCATGGGCCATGGCTTAGCATGCATTGAGCCATGGAGAACTTCGTAACCTTGAACCTTGCGTCTTGCGTCTTGAACCTTGTGTTTTCGCTGCATGGGTCCTTCAGACGGCTCTTCCTGTTTTCGTAGCCACCTGCCGTCTGGTATTTATATAGTGAAGGTAGATTCGTCTCTGTCTTCTCCTGTCTATCCTCCCCATTTCTTCCACTTCCTCATCTTCTCCCGGCTTTCTCCGTGCCCAATTCACGATGTCAGTTCCAGTTCCAGTGCCTGGCCCTCCAGGGTTGCCCCTGATAGGCAACCTCAAGGATCTTGACGCCACTGATGGGACGGCCAGCCTTTCTCGATTGGCGGATACATATGGTATGCTGTCCCGACCAATCAGCCAGTGAAGCATACCACTGACTATGGGACATACAGGGCCAATCTTCAAGCTCAATCTTGGAGGGGTGGACAGGCTCTTCATCTCAACACGCGAGCTCATGAACGAGGTCTGCGACGAGAAACGCTTTTCAAAAGCGCTATCAAGTCCATTGGAACAGATTCGGAATGGAATCGAAGATGGGTTGTTCACAGCATACCCGGGAGAACACAATTGGGAGATTGCACACAGAGTTCTCATGCCAGGTACGGGAGCCGCCATCGCAATGACAGACCGAGCGAGGCTGACGGGCAGCAGCATTTGGACCGATATCGATCAAGGGGATGTTCGACGAAATGCATGATATCGCTTCGCAGCTCGTGATAAAGTGGGCGAGGTTTGGCCCGAAGGAGAAGATCAATGTCACGGACGATTTTACGAGGTTGACATTGGATTCGATTGCTTTGTGGGCTCGCTCTGTGCTATCATGGAAGCCGGACTGACGGATATAGGTGTGCAATGGATACTCGATTCAACAGCTTCTACCACGAGGATATGCACCCCTTTGTCGATGCCATGGTAGGGTTGCTCCAAGAATCTGGGGCCAGGGCACGAAGACCAGCTGTTGCAACCTACTTTATGCGCTCAGCCCAACAGAAATACGACTCAGACATTGCTCTGCTGAGGCAGGTTGCAAAGGAGGTGGTGGCGGAACGAAAGGCCAATCCAAGCGACAAAAAGGACCTCCTCAATGCCATGATCAATGGCAGAGACCCAAAGACTGGCGAAGGTCTGACCGATGCGAGTGTGTTGAATAATATGATTACATTCTTGATTGCTGGTGAGCCGATCGTTTCCTGTCTCCTCTTCTCTCGTGCTCATCAGATTCAGGTCATGAAACCACCAGTGGCCTTCTCTCATTCTTGTTCTACAATCTGCTCAAGAATCCCGCGGCATACCAGGCGGCGCAGAAGCAAGTTGACGAAGTTGTTGGCCGCGGACCAATCAAAGTCGATCACATGTCAAAATTACCATACATCGAAGCATGCCTTCGGGAAACGCTGAGATTGACACCAACTGCACCAGCGATCACCCTCCAAGCTCTGCCGGATTCCGCAGGCGACAAGATAAGTCTTGCGGGAGGGAAATATGAGATCAAGGCAGGACAGCCAATCACATGTCTTCTTCCTAAAATCCACCGAGATCCCGCAGTCTACGGAGACGATGCCGAGTCTTTTATACCGGAGAGGATGCTTGACGAGCCATTCAGCAAACTTCCAAACAACAGCTGGAAACCGTTTGGCAATGGGATGAGAGGTTGTATAGGTCGTCCATTTGCCTGGCAGGAAGCAATTCTCACCACGGCCATGCTGTTGCAGAATTTCAACTTCAGATTCGATGATCCAAGCTACCAGCTCCATATCAAGCAGACTTTGACAATTAAACCGAAAGGCTTCTTCATGCATGCGACGTTACGAGAACATGTTGACCCGGTCTACCTGGAAAAGTTGCTTCATGTAGACTCATCAAAGGAAGGTCAATGGACAGAGAAAGAAAGGAAGATCGAGTCAACAGTGAACCTCGGCGAGGTCAAAAAGCCCATGCATATCCTATACGGCTCAAACTCCGGTACCTGTGAGGCTTTGGCACAGAGCCTAGCAAGAGTTGCTTCTGGTAGGGGGTTCCACGCTCAAGTCGAACCCTTGGACTCGGCTGTTGGAATGGTACCAAAGGATCAGCCCGTTGTGATGATTGCTTCCAGCTACGAAGGCCAGCCTCCAGATAACGCCGCACACTTCTTCGAATGGCTTCAAAATCTGAAAGGCGAAGACGAATTGGAAGGGGTAAAGTATGCCACCTATGGCTGCGGAAATCGTAAGTTAGTGATGCAGCAAAGCAAGATCAACGTACTGATCAAGGGTAGATGATTGGGTTTCCACATTCCATCGGGTCCCGAAACTTCTTCACTCGGGATTTGAGAGTCACGGCGCCACACAGATCGCAGACCTCGGCCTTGGAGATGTAGCAGCAGGCGATATCTTCAATGGCTTTGACAAATGGCAAGATGAGCAGCTCTGGCCAGCTCTTGGAGGCAAGGGCGATGCAGAAGACGAGTCTGGAATCGAGATCGAGGTAGATACCGATTCACGACGCTCCAGGCTTCGTCAAGACGTCAAGGAGGCTGTTGTTGTCAGCAACCAAGTGTTGACAGCTGGGGGGGTACCGGAGAAACGCCACATTGTCCTACAGCTCCCTAGCGGAATGACTTATAAAGCAGGGGACTACTTGGCAGTTCTTCCGATTAACAACCAAAAGAACATACGACGGGTTTTGAAGTGGGCGAACTTGCCGTGGGATGCGGTATTGACAATCAAGACGGGGGCGAATACAACCCTACCTACTGGACATCCGATTTCTGCAGTGAGCTTATTTCCATACTGAGTCGCTATACTTTGTTTGGGAGCTCAGGTCCCTCTTCAGCACCAGGAAATGGCGATACTAATTCGTTGGTTAGATGGATGTTCTGGGTGCTTATGTTGAACTGAGCCAGCCAGCAACTCGGAAGGTAAGTTTGCTATTCCTACTCGAGACGATGCTCCAATACTAATCGAGCAGAACGTTGCAAGAATTGCAGCAAGTGCGGCCGACGAATCTGTTCGGTCCCAAATCATGGCTCTGGCGGGCAAAGACTTCGAAAAGGAAATCTTAGCCAAACGCCGCTCACCTCTGGATATTTTGGAAGAATACCCATCAGCTACCCTGCCACTCGGAGACTTTCTCGCGATGCTTCCACCAATGCGGATCCGTCAATACTCCATCTCCTCTTCTCCTCTTGCCGATCCGACAATCGCTACCTTGACTTGGGCCGTCCTTGATACCCCCTCAAAAGTCGCCGATTCGAAACGCTATCTTGGTGTGGCATCAAACTACCTCTCTAGTGTGGAAGAGGGAGACAGAATCCATGTGGCCGTAAAACCCTCTCACGGTACCTTCCATCCCCCGAACGATATTGAAAACACTCCAGTGATCATGTTCTGCGCTGGTACTGGGCTAGCGCCCTTCCGTGGCTTCATTCAAGAACGTGCCATGCAAATCCAAGCCGGGAGAAATTTAGCTCCCGCCTATCTCTTTATCGGCTGTGTTCATCCAGAGAAGGACGCCTTGTTCAAGGACGAGTTGGCGCAATGGGAGAAGGACGGCATTGTGCAGCTCTTCTACGCATACTCCAAAGCCAGTGATTTGAGCAAGGGTTGTAGACACGTTCAAGACCGGCTTTGGGCCGAAAAAGAGTCAATGGTGGAGGTCTTCAACAAAGGTGCGAAGCTTTATGTCTGCGGATCGAGTATGGTCGGTGAGGGGGTGGCCAGTATGACGAAACGTATCTACCAAGACTCCGTCGAAGCAAACGGTGGTTCGAAAAGTGACGAAGAAGTTGAGGGTTGGTTCCAGAGTATCAAGGGCGAGCGTTATGCTTCAGATGTTTTTGTTTGAGGAAAGTTTGGTGCGGTATAGGGTATGTTCTTGGCTCCCTCGTGGAGCGATACTTCGCCAAACTTAGACTTCAATTCCCTTCCAGGCTCCATTCCTTGAGATATCAGATGCCCCTTAGCCATGTGACGCTCGAACATGTGTGTCTCTGAAGAGGAGTCTAACGGTATTTGCGTTTTGTTTTCCAGTTCTGTTTTAGCGCTGAGTATACATCCTCACCGCTCAGCCCTGAGAGATATCGATGCATGCTAAGATCTTACGCCAAGACTTAATTAGATTCAGTCGCAAAATCAAGACCGTGGACAAATATATTTGTGCACTTAGACGTGCCAATGAGGATGCTCTAATCCTATTTAATGTTCATCCTAATAAAGGCGGCATTAGACCGTAGCTGTGGGTAAAGTGGTGAGTGCATTGCATGGGGAAGGTTTAAGCTTCCTTACCCTAGCTGAATCGTACTAATCGGGCTACTGACCGCCGGATACAGGTTTGACGACATGAATATTCTGAGATTGCATCTCGTAAAGCTCAAGCCGGATGGACTTCTTGAACTTCAGATATAAACCATGTTCAGGTGGTCCTGTAATACCAGGTATCGAATACAACTTATAAGTCGCGCTGGCGCCAGCGAGGCGGGCCACGAGAAAGATCATCTCTGCTTCTCCAAATTGGATTTGCTCTTGTGGGGTCGCACATTTTGTCAATTTTAAGATCGCATAGATACCCAATCAAAAAGAAGGATGGCTTCAGTCGTGATGAAAGGTTCGTGGCAGCACCGTCCCTCACTCGAGCGCTTCAGTAACGTATCTCAGCTGTGGCGGGAGGTGGAATAGGAGATGCAGCCCACCAAGTGGTAGGCGTGGCCCAAGCAGCTGGCCAGATCATGGACATCGTTCGCGACGAGACCACAAAAGCAAACGAGGCAGCTCGAACAGCGGACAACGAGTTTAACATCCGCAAGAACTTTCTCGACAATACCGTCAATGCGATCAAAGAGGCCACCCTTGGACAGTACAGCATCGTTATATGTACTGATCAATCCGATGATGATTTTCAGGAGCTAGCTGGCCAGGTCCTTCCTATGGATTTAGTGGATGTGGAAGTCGGGGATGGCAAGACCGTCAACTTCCAAGTTTATGTTTTCGATACTGGGAAGTATTTGCGTCATGGGAGATGGGAGAGGGACGCGTGGTGGTACTATGGCCAGAGCGAGGTGTCATATGACGTGGCGATGCATGTTCGCTTCGACCATGCTCAGCCGAAACTGAATCCTGAAGAGGCTGATCAGCAACAGGAGGCTCAAGCTGGAGAAGCTGAGATGGCCGAAGCTGTAAATTCTGCATCTGGGGGAGGTGGGAATGAGGAAGAAGAAGGAGGAGACGAGGCTCAAGTTCAGGAGAGCGCAGCGACTGGAGGCGGTGCTGGCGGCAGGGATACTAACTCTCAGCCCGAAGAAAACCAGCCCGACGACGCCCAGCCTGATGAGACTCAGGCCGCAGAGCAGGGAGCTGAGGGGCAGGTCGAGGGGGATGGGGAGCAAGAGGAGCAAGAAGAATAATCATGGTGCTGAGAGACCAAGCTCTCCCTGGGGTTTGTGTCGAGTATGCGACGAGAGAAGAGGGACCACACACAAAGACGTGAAGACAACAGTGAACAGTGAGCAAAGAGAAATTGAACCCAAGTGGCCTGATTTTGATTTCGGTGCATTTGACGAAGCCGCCTAATGTGGAGGACTATGTACAAGAATCGAAGCTACATTCCGAGAAGAAAAAAAGAGAAACCGATGAGCCCAACTATCCAGCGAGGTCATGATCTCGTAATGGTATCATTCGTAAAGCCGCAAAACATCCCCATGAAAATATTGCGAGCCAATGACCTCCAAGTCAAGCTCCAGAAGTAGAAAGAAAGCCAATACCAACAAACTCTACAAACAAGGCAGCATTCCGAGACCATTTAAGGCTGTGGCGGGCCTTGGGACTCTTGCGCCATTCGAACCTCAAGAACTTGGCTCAGGTGCTGCAGATCACCTCTCGCCTTCTCATCCTCCTCCAAAATTCTTCTGATAACTTGCCACTCAACGGGTCGCATTTGATATGCCTGGGGCATGAGAAATGCAACCGTGGGCGCGTCTACAAACTCACCAAGTATGCGGCGTGCATTCACTTCCCCAACCTGTTGATCACGCACCCGCTGCTCCTCTTGCTGCTGTCGACGTTGGGCCTCATCGGGGGTCATTTGCGGTTGTGAGGCAACTGGCGGAGGGGGACCTTGGAAGGAACCTTGCGGGGCAATTGGTGACATTGCAGGAGCGGGGCCAGACATGGACATTTGTCGTTGTGGATGGCCCATCATGGAGGGTGACTGTGCCTCCGTTGCGCCCTCAAATCCTTGGTGAGAAATGGAGTTGTTTTCGTGGCGAATGACGAGCGCAACAAGAATCATGGGTTCTGCTCGTAGCTCTGGTACCCGGTGGCCTTCTAAATTGATGATGAAATCAGGCAAACTGCCAGGGTTTGGGGGGATCGGGACGAGGTAAGTGTCGCGAATGTTTCCAACACCCTTGTTTGTGAGAACCCCATATCGATTCTTGCTCTGGAAGTAATCGTAGAGCTCCGAGAAGCCTTGGGCAGCGGCTTCACCGGTGGGAGTGACATTGACGACAACAACATCGGTAGGAGGGCTGTATCGGAGGCTGCAAAGATACTCGTTCGCCTTCTCCTGGTCAATACGACCCGCAACTCTGAGATCCTTTTGAAGGATATCGCTCCAGGGGATAGTCTGGCTGATGTCTGCACCACCGATAAGCTTTGCGACGGCCGGGAACTTGGCAATCGAATCCATGGTGACTGCTCCACGCCAAACAATTTCTGGATCAGAGCTGTATTCGGCAGGAGAGTATGGCGGCGATTCGTTTCCTTCGTCATCTTGAAGCAGTTTGTCGATTTCAGGATCGACACCAGGACCCTGCGAGGGGGGTGCATTGTTGGTGGACTGTCGACGAACGTGGTGGGCGTTGAGGGGAGATTGGACACTTGAAAAGACTTTGTTGATGTCGAAATCGGCGGAACCTGACGGCTTTCGAACTGGCTGTTGAGCCTTCGTGTCGATATTGAGAGAAGATTTGGGAGCTGCGTGGCCTCGAATATCGTCCCGAGATCGATGGTCATCAATGCTCTCTGGAAGCTCGACTTGATCACCTGGCGAATTCTCTCGAGATCGAGCTGCCATCTCAGCATTTGGGTCCATCATGCTTCGTCTGCGGGACGTTGACATCGTGCTGTCGTTTGGAACTGCAAAATTGTCTTCCTCAATCACTTCATCGCCCTTATGCGTTCGGCGAATGCGGGGACCATCGTCAGATACCATGATAGCCTGCTTGTCCGAACGTGCCTTCATCTCTGCGGTCTCGCGCTTCAGTTCCTTGCTGGCCATGTCGTCAGAAGTCATGGAAGCGAGGGCATGGGGTGACAAGCTCCGGGTAAGGAGGCCATTGGACAGCTCTTGATTTTGCTTGAGGTTGAAGGCAATGGCACGAGACTGTTTAATGTAGGCAGTCTTGTCGGTATGGGTGTGGTGAACGGCATCTTCGACTTCGACGGCGAGACGTTCTGCCTTGGCATGAATATCGTCGTCCTTGTTTAGGGCAAAAACGCCTGCCTTGATGGCGATCGGGATAGAATGAGTGAGGCTTTTGAGGACGAGCTTTGCTGATCCTTGCCGGCCGGATTCGAGGTCAACGATTTTGACGGACAGAGTTCGGGGCGGAGAGGCAACTTGCGCAGGCTGGGATGAGACTTTTCGCACCTTTGACTGGGGCTCCTATAGTTCTGTTAGTTCATGTTTGGGAATGTGCATGATTGAGACATACCTTTCCAGAGTCCTGAGCCTCATCATCTCTTACCTTTCTCTTCGTGCTTCCAGATCTCGCAATTGTATCTTTCTTTTCCTTCTTCAGATCTGCCACGACAGGAGAGTTGGCCTTGCCGTTCGTACCATGGCTGGCTTCAGACTTCTGATCACTATTTCTCTTGCCCTTCTTTTTGCCCTTCTTCTTGAGTGCTTCCTCCTGCTCATCCTGGAGCTTTTGGATCTCGTATGCTCTCCGGCGCTCTCCCAATATGTCCTCCCCTCGTTGAAAGGCATCAAGAAGTTGTTTGTGGAATACTGGATCGCACTGCTCGCACATGTACGCCTTGGGTATATCCTCATCGTAGACGCCGACTCCAACGCAGACGTTATGTTGCCAAACGCCACATTTATCGCATGCAATCCAAGGCTCGTTGTCATTATCACCAGTCTCGATAGCACCGCAAACGCAGCGAATGACTTCGACCTCTTCTTCCTTCTCGGCGGCCTTCTTGGATTTCCTCGTGGTTTTCTTCTTTAGCTCAGAGGGTTGGTCAAGGAGATCGAGACTCTTCGTGTGCTGTCCTTTCGTCGCCCTGACAGATCTTCGGGGTTCATCTGGAGAAGGCAGGTTAGCTTGATGTCCGAGAGGTGAAGGTGGCGCGCAATGCCACCGTCGTGCGCTGTACGGGGGAATCTTACCAGCCATGTTTGGCGTTGGGTTCAATGACGATACGATGCTTCACAGGTCGTGGCGTTCAAGGTCTTTTACGATGGAGAAGATTGTTGTTGATTTCAAAACGCGCTTTTCACGCGATCACAGACTGGGCTCTACAAACAAGCTATGATGAAGGGGCGCGCCGGCGATGATCAAGGAGAAAGAAGTCAGGGAAGCTATCCAGGTAGCAATGTGGATTCTCTGCGCCTTCCCAAATGCCGATGAAGATTCTGTCGCGACTGCTGTCCCCGCAACGAGCTCGCGTGCTTGGCGCAGATCGGGAGCCAAGAGCTCTGGAAGGGCGGCGGTGTTGTCGCGTGATGAAGGCGGCAATGGTCGCGGTTAACCCGATTGTACTTGTCCGGTCGAAGTGGTCCTGTTGTTGTTGTCGTCGTCGTCGATAGCGGATGAAGTTGGATGGAGGAAGGGAAGGCAACGGCGATGCCTTTCCGGCAAAGATTTGGAGCTTGGCCTTGGATTTCAAATTGCGGGGAATCACGTGACCCGCCAGTTTGGCTTAGCGCCATCGAAGCTCCAGGCTCGAAGCTCATCAAAAGGCCAAGAGCTAAAGCTTCAGCTTCCGCTTCCAGCAGCATCCAACGCACCCTTCCATCTTCCTTTCCTGCGATAATCGTAATGGCAGACGTTCGATCCCTGCTCAAGAATGAGCGCGCATCTCGACGAATCCAGCACAAACATGCAAGCTACTCGACCACTGGAACGCTGCTCTGTACCGTTTGCCATCTGCAACTGAAGAGCGAGGCACTGTGGGAAGGTCACCTGCGGTCTGCAGGACATCTCATGCGTTTGCAGAAGATACAGGAACAAGAGAGTGAACCCTCTCCATCCGCCAATACCGAACCACCTCCAATACGCTTGAAAAAGCGGAAGGCAAGCGATGAGGAGGAGGGCACAGTTCGAAAACGAAGCAAAGCCCCCAATGGCCTGCCGGAAGGATTCTTTGATGGTGGGCGAGAGGAGAATGATTCAGCAGCTTTTCCCGCCGAAATGCAAATCCCTTCACGACCAGCCACGCCACTGAAGCCCCCAGAAGCCATGATGATTCTTCAACCGGAAGGCCAAGTCGACGAAGATGAGTGGGCAGCTTTTGAATCCGACATTGCAACGGCGGAAGCACAGGTTCAAGCCGCGAACGATGCTGTGATTTCAGCTCCTGCAATGTCAGCAGCGGAGTTGACGAAGAAATCTGCAGAGGAGGATTATGCGCAGAAGAAGGAACGTCAGGAGGCAGAACTGGAGGGGGACAAGGAAGATGCTGCAAGGAAGATGGAGGAGGAATTGGAGGAGATGGAGAGTTTGGAGGCCCGTGTCAGGAGGTTGCGAGAAAAGCGGGAGGAGCTGAGAAGAAGGGGGAGCAATGTGAGCTCTGGCAGACAGACGGCTCAAGCCACGGTTGCGGGTACACTGGAGGAGGAAGACGATGACGAAGAGGACGATGAGTGGGATGGTTGGATGAAAGGTTGAGATTTAAGATTATGGCCACGATGATACCCAATGGCGTAATTCCTCAAGATGCAATACAAATCTTCAAGCAGGATCATTTCCCCCTAACATCCTTTGGTTGGTAACAAAAACTATCCCAACTTCTTTTTCCTATCATCGCTGGAATGGCCCTCTGCCCCCTCCTCAAGTACAGTGGAATAGTCAAGGACCGGCTTCAGATGGTTTTGACGCTCGCCGATCGCTGTGTACGTGTACCCAAAGGGACATAGCGAACCTAGTATCACAAGTCTGTGTTTTTAGGGCATTTTCGCTAACTAGTAAGAAACGAACCCCAGAACTATTTTGGACGCTTTACTTTTATATTTTGAATTAGTTATAAAGGCCTGCTAAACTCATTCTAGCTTCTTTTATCGTGTGAGCTTGAATTATATATAAAGCTTTAATTTGTAGTTATTGTGAAACTATAAAGTAATGTGGATGGCAAGTTCTTGTTTTTAATTCCTACTAGCTCGTATGTTTTTCAGGCTAAGAGAGGGAGTTACACGCGCCTCAGGCTGTAATATATACAAAAGTAGTCCTACCGATAGTGCTTTGTAAGTGGAATAATATCCAAAAAAGGAGGACCCCGGCCACTCTATCTCTTATATACTACGCCTGGCCTGGTAGCTACCTAACTAGGGAATCGAACCCATTCTAGCCGCTCTCCTCCTTTAAGAGGCTCTTCCCTTACTCATGCCCAGGGATATTATATTAAATATAGAGTACTCTCTTAAGTTATTCTCGAATATGCTATTTATAACGAGTTTCTATCTATATTTCATATTACTATCTATAATAACCCTGAGCCTTATATATCTTAGTTACTACTTATAAATATAAAGATTTATTTGGATATATTTCTCTAATTCAAAGAATTAGAACTACCTCTCTTTTAAGAAATACTTACTAGCTTAAGAATATAAGATATAATATAATTTAGTAATCTTACCTTCTAAAAAGCCTTATATTATAAGAAGATCTCTATAAAGAAATATATTATATAAATATATAAGGCCGCTAGGCTTTAATTTTAATAAAGCGGCCCTAATCTCAATTCGAGATTAATTAGATACCTCAGGTATTTATTTAAGAAATATTAGCTTTACTAATTTTAAATTTCCTTTAAAAATACACTTTTTGTAAGGCTCCCAATATAGCAGGGTGCTATGCAAGTAGTCAAGGTAAGGGGTGGAATATAGGGTAAAGTATGGAGTGAAGCGTGGAAGTATAATTGATTCCAAGAACTGGTTCTTAGTAATAAACTAATCGATGCCTATTTCTAAAGCTCGCATGCCTCCATATATAGAATCTAGTATTCCGCTGGATGTACGGAAGCACTAGTTCCAATTAGGTAGTGCGATCCCATATAAGCACTAGCCTAATTAGGCTACCAAATCTAGCTAAACGCTCGCTATTAATATATATATTACACTTTTTAAAAGCTAAAATTTTTCTAGATAAACTAAATAAAATAGGTTTTAATTTCGAATTCCAAGGCTTTTTTTCTTTAATAAATATATATAAATTAATTCTTATATCTGCTATAAGCCTACCTTTAGCTTATAATATTTTTTATAATTAATAAAATATCTTTTCTATTATTTATTACTACTATTATTATTATTACTATAATAGTAAACTTTACTCCTAGCCTATTATTATTACTATTTACTTCTTCTATTCTATTTATTCTTTTATCTTATTCTATTTATATTATAGCCTTTTTTTTCTCTTTTTATTATTTATTATATACCTGTTTTATAGCCCGGTTATATTATTAATTCCGCTCGGCCTACTAATCTAAAAGCTAAACTTGGCTAATTTATTAATTAAGTTTATTTTACTAAATATATGAATTATATTAATAAATTAGATATATAAATAATATATATAATTATAACTAGTTTTTTTAATAGAAATTATATTAATTATTATTATAGTAATAAAAGTACTTATTACTTTTTTTTATAAATACTTTTATATAATATTTTATGAATTATAATTAATTTAATAAATATTTATAAATATTATTATTATTTTTACTAGTTCTATTCAGTGTGGGAAATGAGTTGAGTAGAGTAGAGTAGTGGGCCCTACTCATACTCTACTCAAGTTTTTTTCTCACTACTCATACTCTACTCAATACTCTACTCAACTACTCAAGAATATTCTTGAGTAGTTGAGTAGTATGCACGTGATACCACACGTGACGTTACACGTGATAGGCTAACCTAATTTGGTAAGGCTCCGGGGTGGCCCGAGCCTAGCGCCACTGTACTGCCCAATCAAGTGGTGGCGAGGTTTGGTAAGCGAGGTAGAACCTTTACGATACTTCCAGAACTACCATGGCTTACATATTATATTATATTACTAATATAAGAGCTTTATATTAGAAATTAAAGAACTAGAACCTTCGAAATATAGTATTTCTTTCTAATTAGAAGAAGAATTAAGAAGCCTTTAGAATATTAGAATTTTGTATAAGAACAGGTTGTTTTCCTCGAGTTCTCGCTTTTTTTATTTTTATAATTACTTATATATCTTTAACTATTACTCTCACAATAATACTTTATATTATAAATACCTTTATATATACTTTATATACTCGAAAATGTCTCAACCATCCTCGATTAAGCTTAATATAAGCCAAAATCACCCTGATTTTATATTAAAATCCCTTGATAAAGAACCTCTTCTCTTTAAAAAAGGATATTTAAAAAAGACTTTAAATCCAATTCAAGAGAACCCGGAAGACGCTCGCACTTGTACTATTAGGTGCTTAGTACAAGGCTGTTCGTAAGTTAATAATCTTAATTTTAATAGTTTTAATATTAATTAACTTTTTAGAAAAACATGGCTAAATTAATGAATATACGGTCAAACAAGTAATTATTTAGCTCACTTTCGGAACTCATATAAATTTATTAATCTTAATACTCTTTCCGATAGTGGAAATAATAGTAAGTTAATTAATATTATTTAAAGAATTATTTACTAATTATTTACTAATTATTTATTAGGTAAAAGCGAAGCTTCTTCTTCTCAAATCTCTCAACTAACTATAAATAGTCTTTTTAATAGACAATCGGGCCAAAGAGAAGATAGCTTTACTATTAATCACTTTAAGAGATTATTATTAAGCTTTATTATTAGTAATAATATCTCTTTTCGAGCAGTTACTACTCCGAGCTTTAAAGCACTTTTAAAATATTTAAATTAGTAAGTACTTATATTATTATTATTATTATTATTATTATTATTATATAAGCTAATATTTTATAGTCAAGTACCGCCTTTATATAAGAAAACACTTAAGGACGAGCTTAATTTGAGCTATATAGAAAAGAGTTTAAATATTAAAGAAGAATTACAAGAGAATATTAATTCTCAAGGAACCTTTTCTATTACTTTAGACGCTTGGACAGGTATAAATCAAAAGGCTTTTCTTGGAATTACTATGTAAGTTAATTAATTATTAATTATTAATTTTTTATAAAATATATACTAATTTTATTTTAGACACTTTATAAATAAGGATTTTATATTAAAATCTTATTTATTAGCAATAAAAGACTTAAACGATATACACTCTGGTATTTATATGCTTTCTGTTTTATTAGAAGCTTTAAAACAATATAATATTAAATATAATATTACTAGGTAAGTAATATAATTACATTTTTATAATATAATTACTAATATATTTTATTTAGTATTACTCGAGATAATGCTAGCTCAAACGATACCTTATTAAAGGCTTTTATAAAGCATTATAATAAGCAAGGAATTAAATTTCAAGGAGATATTCCTTGTATAGCTCACGTATTAAATTTAGTAGTTCAAGATATTTTAAAAGCTCTTATTAAGAACGATTACGATACTTCTTATTCTACTGATTTATACGAGCAAGAAATGGAAGAACTTGAAGATAGAGAAGAAGAAGGAGAGCAAGTAATAAGTAAGTTTCCTATATAATTTATAAGAGATTTATTAATAAATTTTAGATTTATCGATTTGGAGAAAGGTTAGAAAGACTATTATAGGTCTTAAATATAACCAAGAAAACCGACGATTATTAGAAGCTCAAATTAAAGCTTTTAATATAGAAAATGCTCGATTTCCTTAACTTGGTAAGTAATTAATAATCTAATTATTAATTAATACTAATTATTTATAGACCAAAAAATACGGTGGTCTTTGACTTATAATATGTTAAAGAACTTTTTATATATATATAAAGCTATTGAGGTTGTTATTAATAGCTCTAATTCAAAGGCTTTTAAAAATAAAAGTCTAGTTTTAACTAATATTGAAATTACTTATTTAAATAATATTTTAAATATAATTTCAATATTTATTAAAGCTACTACAAAGTTACAAGCCGAAAACTACCCTACTATATATTATATTATACCTGAGGTATATAAAATATATAATAAACTAGAGAATTTCAAGAAGGAATTTAAAGTAAGTCTTTTTTTAAACTCTTCTTATATTATTATTAATATTATACTAATATTTAATAGGATAAAGCATTTACAGATGCTATTAATAAGGGTATAGCTAAGCTTCGAAAATATTATCCTAAAACAGGCGTTTTAGATAATAAAAGTAAAGCTTTATATTTAGCCCTTATTCTTGATCCTCGAATTAAACAAGAAGGATTAACTAGTATTGGCTTATCTAGCGGTATGTCTTCGGATATATATAATAGATTAAAGACCGATTATAACGTGTAAGTAATCCCTTTAATTACTTTTTAATAAATTAATTAATAACTAATTTTATTTAGATATAAATACGATTATAATTTATCTCAAGCTAGATCCGATTCCTCGGATATTAATATGGCCGATTCCGACGAAGACGAAGACGATATATATATTACTAATAAGTCTTCTAATATAGAAGACGAATTAGTAACTTATTTAGAAGAAAAGAGAGAAGATAGGAAAGTAAGTAAATTTCACTTAAATTTTATTAAATAACTATCCGGTATTCTTTTAATTTTTTTTTATATATTAGTACTAATATATATATAGACTAAGCCCCTAGACTACTGGAAGTCTAATGCGGCTAGATTCCCTGTTTTAGCTCTAATAGCTAGGAAATATCTAGGAATCCCGGCTTCCTCGGCCGCTAGCGAGAGATTCTTCTCTCAAGGTGCTCTTATTATATCTAAATTACGTAATAGACTTAATAAGAGTACTTT